CTGTCATTCTTCCCCTCCCTCCCTCCCTCCCTCCCTCCCTGTCGTTCCTCACTCCCTGTATCTCTCGCTCTCTAATTCCTGTGCTCCTTCTCTTTCACCGCCACAGCCATCAGGATCCATCCTTCTCTCGCCATCATCTCCATGGTTCCGCAAGGCACCGAGCTCGCTCCCTGAATGGTGTTGGAGCTCTCTAGCATCTCAAGGGGTCGGTGCAAATCCATGATGCCATAGTGTCTGCCAGGCGCCGCTTCAACTGCTTCTGCTTCTTTACAGATGTTCCCATTTGGATTTTAAAAGCTTCTTCGTTTCTCCTGGAATATCACCCGTTTTGAAAAATTCCGAAACCTGCCTTCTCTCACTTCACTCAGTGGAAGCTGCTGCATCTCTACAGACTGACATTACATTGTGTGGGATTTATCTTTATTCTTTTCTTTTTCTTTTTTCTTTTTTCTTTTAAATGGACACTAATTGCGCTTAGCTCCTGAGGGCTCTTGGGCAAGACTTTGCGATAGGGGTGGGAGCAAAACACAAGCGGGGTGTGTCGGATTGACACAAGCGGGTATTCCGTAGAAACATCTCTCTAGGAAGCTGCCTTGGATTTGGTTTTACCCTCACTTCATCTTTTTTTTTTTTTTTTTTTAGGGGCACATGGACTGTGGTCACCAAAGCAGCCCCTCTCTCTCTCTCTCTCTCTCTCTCTCTCACTTTCTTAGCCGAGAGCGTCACATGTAGCATGCCACAGTTTTCCAGCGAGGATCCCAAAGCATGCTGGATGTTAACTTACAGCTTAGACACCTTAGGGTAAGCCACTTTCCTACAGCCTGATGATGTGTTTGCCTTTCGTTTGTTTAAAATTTGCATATTATTTGATCAACTCCAGCCACTCTAGATGGTCACGTATCATCTACATAAGGTATTTTTTCCCCATTCCGAGCTACTTTGTTCCTTTTTCTTCAAAATTGCATAAAGTAATTTTCGACCGCAATTATCTCCGAAGGAAGGTGGGGGTGCAGGGGGGTGGTGGTTAATGATTAATAAAAGAGGTGGGTGGGTGAGAGATGGATTTTTACGACCGCGTTGAACCATACTGGCTTTTAATGAACGCTATTCCGAGTCACTGCTTAAAACGACACGAGTTCAATTTTGGAGAAACGTTAAAGCGTCAGGGCGTCGTGTTTCGTTGTTGTCAAGGATACCGTGGTAGGTCATGAAACGAAAGGGTCCACATGGACTAACCTCTCAGCTGCGTAGCCAGTGTTTGGTTTAATCTATGACAGACTTCCTTCCTCTCTTAAATCTGTTATGAACTTGTCATTAACGTCTAAAGTGGGAGACTAATGGAAGACGGAGGAGCGAGGCTCTGCAGACGAACAACAACCGAAGCGCTGTCCGTATTGAATTGTGTTTTTCTGAAACATTTGACATGGTGGTCTGACATGCACAATTTCCCACCCCTTTTTTTAGATTAGGGTCCCCTTGACAGGATAGGTGAGCATCAAGAATATGGGCACCACAGTCATCACCTTTGAGGATGTGCAGGCACTTGAGGTCAAAGAGGAACGGGAGGAGTCCATCTTGGCCCTGTTGGGCATCATCGGCACATTCCTAAACCTCTTTGTAATCGTTTTTGTTTACATCTATACGACACTGTGACGTCACACGGCACTGGACACAAGATCTCTGGATACCAACCGTTTGGACAGGAAAGCTTGATCGAAAGAGCCCGACATGAACGTCTTTCCTAAAAGAAGAAGGTGTGACCTGGTCTGCCCGGCTCAGGGTGGAGACGAAAAAGCCATATTTCCGCGACAAAGTCGTGAGTCTGACAGATAACAAAGGGCTACGAGCATGGCAGTTGGATAAGCCTCGAATCAGGGTGAAGGCGGGCAGATGGACACAAACAAAACCACAGGCAGGGCTGGGTCCTCTGTGGCTAGACACGAAAGAAATTCCTTTTTTTTTTGTGGGATTTACGATTTAGAAGATGAGCAGAGCAAAACGACCTTGGGACGTTTTCATTTATTTTATACTTCATTTTCAAAGACGTTCTCTCGAAGAGCTTTTAAGCTAATGTTTCGGGGCGAAATGTGCAAGAACTGCAGCTCTGAAGTCACTCTGAAAAGACCAAATTTGACAGGACTTTGTGGTAAAAATAAAAAAAGCCTAACTCTAGGGCACCTGTCAAAAAGTATAATTCCACACAAATGTCATCTCCATGTTTTGCAAGATTCTGTAAGTGATTATTAACAATCTCAAAAACATGAACCATAAAGAGTTTGAGGTTGGTGTTAAGGGAAAAATGTCTGATCGAATAGACATGAATGAAAGTGTAAAAAAAAAAAAAAAACACTTCATAAATATTCATATTAATTAATTCATTTGAAACTGGACCTATCTTCTTCCTTCCTTTTTTTTTTCTTTTACTTCATGTCTAATTTCAGCAACCAAGTTGTGGAAGTGTTTTTTCTGGTACAGTTGCTGGTTTTATTTCAAAGTGACTTTGAAACTTTTCCTGTGTATAATTTTTTTTTTTAAATAAATATTTAAATAATATTTTATTACACTGTGAATTATTTTTGTGGAATCAGTATGAACTGCAGGGGGAAAATTCGAGGTTGATAACAACTGTTATTTATATACAAAAAAAAAAAAAAAAACTATCGCTTGCAATGATAAAAATTTTGCTACATTTTACTGCCCACGTCAGGAAAAAGCAGCCCTAAAAAGCCAATTTTAAAGCCAATACATAAAGTTAGAATGTTGGCCAATAAGACATTATTGAAACCATATTAGTCACTTTGTTTTGAGAGGACGACTTAATGCTTGGACATCTACTTCACGTACACGAAAGCCAAGAACATCATGTCATTGGTGTGGTTTTATGAGATTAAAGAGGGCGTTACACTGGCACCTTGTTCTGAACAGTTTTTTTTTTTTTTTTTTTTAAAGTAGGTGACATCATGCCGGTCATTACAATGGCCGTTGCTGATAGGCCAAAGAAAGTCAACAAGGGAGTACTGGCATATACCAAAGTTTGCATAAGTAACAGTGCAAACACTTTGTCACATCAAGGACAATTGGACTGGTTTAGTATCTTGAAGACGTTTCACCTCTCGTGCAAGAGGTTGCTTCAGCTCTCAACTAAATGCTGGTTAAAATTCTGGTAGCCTATACCAGAAGTCGAGAACTTCTAAGGAAAACATATTCAATTAAGCCTATTCTTGTACAACAAACAAAAGAGACATTTTAATCAAGTTATATATTATCAAAACTTTTGGCTAAACACTTCTGTTCAACAACCTAAATTAAAGCCTTAAACTTTGCAAATGTTAATTTTTTTTTTTTTTTTTTTGTAATTTGCAGACTCTTAAATCTTATGTCTGAATTCTGTATCTATTGGCGTCTTCACTGTATCTGAAATGATCATCAACAAATGCCTTGCATCCCTGAAGTGAAGTTTAGGTTGCGATTCAACAACTCTGACCTTTGACCATTGACCTTTTCTATTAAAAACAATTCACATAAATATGTGTTATCATACTGGTAGCATATAAGTAGGTAAATACCACCATCCACATTCACATGTGCAAACAGAAAAGTGTTAGGCAAACTGTTCAATCCACCTTAAACTAATTAGATTTAGTGCTGCACTGACATTTAAAAGTGTTATCTCGAACTAATGGTCCAGCCTCCTATGTCAACATGATAGAGGGCCAAGCAACTGTAATGCACTACAAAACGCTTTGACACGACACTATTGATTCATGTGGAGCAATGTGGATGAAGGGACAGGGCCAAGGATCTATGGGCTGGAGAGGGAAATCACTGGAGACATGAAGGCCTGCTTTACTGCGGACAAGGTAAGACTAAAAGGGCAAATACCAGGTTTTTGGGGCAGTCGGATAAATGAGCGTCTATTTGAGGGGGGGGTTTTATTTCAACTGAGGTGATGTTGATGAACGGCAATGACTTTTCGAGACATGCTGTGGCAAATACACATCCCCACAACCCTGTTTTTAGACTTCAGAATTTTACTTTTGAGACAGATATTTGAGAGGGTTATTCAACTTTGTTTGGTCTTAAAAATGAATGAAAAAAGATACTGGTCTATGATTGGTGATCTCTGATCTGAAATTTTCTCTCAATCCAATACAGACAGATACATGAAGAGCACCTACAACCGACAAGTGAAAAAGCAGAAAAATGCACTTTTCTATCCAGATACAACTGCAACATTTACTTAGAACTGGACACAAATAGTTGTCACTAGCGTCAACGTATCTGACAGGCTAAATGCTTCTGATGGTGAGAGCTCGGACCAAGCACTCTGCGAAAAAATCAAATTGTTTCCAGATGATCTAGACCGTTTATAGCTACTCAATAACAATCCTAAAACAAGCTGTCAACAACACTCAAACCTCTCTGGTAAAAAATTGTTACCGACTTTGATCAAATGTTCGGAGCATTCTTTGATGAAATCTACAACGTCAGATTGCAGAGTATCAAAAACACAAGTAGACAACGGACAGTGTCTCCTTCAGTATCAGGCTCATTTTGCTTATGATTTCAAAGACAAACACTTAATCACGCTGCAGCTCCCCCTAGTGTTTCGTTTAGGACTTATTTGTCGAAGACTTCCCAATAGCCACACAACCAAACCTGCTACTGCCACGTCAAAAAAAAAAGAAAAAAAAAAGCATGACCTGAAAAACTAAATAACAAAATCTACAGGTCAACAGGTGGCCACCAATGGGAACATGTGGGATAAGCATATTCTACGGCAACAAACAAAGGAGAAATTTTAATCAAGTTATATCATCAAAACTTTTTTGGCTAAACACTTAAGCTCAACAACCTAAATTGAGAATATTGGTGTAATACCTGGTGTAATACTCGTGTTCATCTTCTCAATACTGTCAACTTGTTTCACAAACTTTGAACTAACAGACGTGGGGTGCCTACCTGAGTCGTTGCGGAGATAACAGACGTAGGGTGCCTACCTGAGTCGTTGCGGAGATAGGAGGACATGGCAGGGATGAGACAGGATTGGCTCAGCAACTCTTGCAGCACTGCAGGCAGCGCTGAGGTGTTATGAGCTCTGGTGTCTGCTGAAGAACCATCAGCGCTAGGACAGCTACAGGAGCCCGCTGGGTTGATGTAGCTCGCCAAGACCTAGTAAGGTAAACAATGTGAAAATACCTTCAATGAACTACATGAATTCAATGGCAATAAAAGGAGATGTCACACACACAACTTTAAACCTCTTACCTGAAGTAGACACGTGACATGTTCTTCTTCGAGCCTCTGTTTAGTGAGAGCCTGCTCCACGTCCCAGCCAGAGGCAGTGGATCCGGTGCCGAAACCAGTTCCTTTGGCCCAATACAGCTGCTGCTCCTCGCTGGTTCCGCCACCATGACAGCTTGACATCTGAGGCTGCAGGTGCAAACATGAGTATGACAAAAGGATACACAAACCACTGCAGCGATCATTATGTAGATAAAGGGCCGTGAAACGTTTTCTTCTAAGTTGGAATTTTTTTTTTCTTAAACATCAAACTATTTACTCAGGTTGGATATTTGGGGATGATTCTCGTCTTTCTCGCTTTCAAAACGGTGCGAGTGAGTGACTGGTCTCGTCTCACTTTTCAGCTCCAATCGCAGCACGTGGACCGTTGTGTCAAGGACAGTGACTATCGCTTTAACAAGGCTTTGGCTCTCTTTCAAGAAGCCGGCCCTGTGATTGGTACTGAGCTCTGACAACTCCATAAATCCATGGAGTAAGGAAGCCAGAGCAGGCAACAGACTAGATTGGTCATTAGCATAGCTGAACAAACATGGCAGCCCTTCACGACGGGTCAAAACACAGCTTTCGGAGAATGGCGTCTGGTTTATTACTGTATTTGATATTTTCTCCTTCTTCTCGCGAGTTTGTTTGTTTGTTTTACATGATGCATTTCCTTTTTGTTCTTCGGGGCTTCCTGTATATTGCGGGGGTTAGGTGAGATCTGCTGAGTCATTTAAGATAAGTCTGCAGTCTCGTCACCAAGCAAACTTTATTTCTACTGTACGTGTTAACTACCAAGGGACTGACGCCGATTTGTTGTTCGCCTCTTTAAATATTATAACAAAAAAAAAAAGGAAATTGAATACAAAATTAAATATATAAATACACAGATATAAAAAATTAAATTAAAAAAAATCATTGAATTACATCAAAATGGATCGGTAATTTTTTTGTTAAGATAATTGTGGTTTTAGTTTTATATATTTTTTCTATGTATTTAATATTACAATATTCCTCGGACGGGTGTCAAAAACAATGAAGAGTTATTTTCTATATTTCAATGGATCAACAGATTATGTCTATTGTATCACACATTAAAATTGGAGTTGGAATATGTGTGTGCATAGGTGTGTGTGTGTTGGTATAAAAGTTGCCAATATGTTTCTGGCTTTCTTCCATTCATCTACTTAGCTCTCATTTAGCACTTATCATTGGGGCAGAATAATTAAGCCATTTTTCAGGGGCTCACTGGGAGATGCAAAAGCAGCGTTTCCCATTAATCACGCCGACTGTGGGCAGTCGCCGGACTAATTTGTCTCTCTAATTTGACCCATCACGGTTTTATAATGAAGCGGGGTGTTTTTGTACAAGTATATACACAAGGCCTCTAACTTTGTGTTTGGCAGTAGTACTTTGTTTAGGAGCTGTAAAAAAAAAAAAAAAAAAAAAAAAATCACACCTTTTTTTAGTTCGTTGCTGACTTAGACACGATTACCACAGGTCTCTTACTTTGTGGAGGTGACCTTTTTTTTTTACTTTTTCTTTTTTTTTAATTAGACATAACAGAGATTATATATTTTTTTTTGGAAGCCCAAACTAAAACACAGGCTGCTGACAATTACAAAAGATAAGAATTGAATTAGGCCACTTTTAAGGCGGCATATCTAATTCAATCTGACATCTTAAAGGTACAGTATCTTAAATATGTTTTAACCTCTTCATTTTCTTCCCTTCCATTGTTTCATATCATAACAGATGATCAATTGAATAAAAAAAAAAAAAGATAAAAAGTCATGTTTGTAAAGCGTACATTGAGGACGTTGGCGCCAAAATTTGCAAGGAGATAAATCTTTGTAAAGCGTACATTGAGGACGTCGGCGCCAAAATTTGCAAGGAGATAAATCGCTTTCAACTCAAGGTCGTTAATGTTAGAGGACGCCATCGTGTGATTGTGTGCGCGTCCATACCTCAGAGACGTTGGTGTTGGCGTTGGGATTCCGGGGGGCGTGGTGGCTTAGAGCAGACAGACAGGCCAGTATGAGGTGGATAGCACCGATCTCCAGAGCCATACGTCGCAGCAGCACGCCGTCGTCCGTGGTGAGGGGAGTGCTGCTGAACAGCGCACGCAGGACGTGGAACGGCAGCGTGGGCAACACGTTGGCTGACGGAGACTGCAGTATGTGACCTGAGAAGAAACGAGAAGAATTATTATTGCAAATAACAATATTCATTACAGATGGTTATAAATTAACTGCCAATGTCAGATCTTTAAGGGCCACACGATGATTTCACTCAAGCAATTTAACTAACAAAATTCATATTTTGTTCATTGTGACATTGACTTACTGCCCTCTCCATCGTCTGTGACCCCGAGCACGAGGCGTAGTAGACACTGAGCATGTTTTCTCTCCTTCAGCCGCATAGCCGGGAAGTCGCAAGAAGAGACCGAACGCCGCTAGCGAATGGGCGGGGATCGGTGACATGGTCTGCACCGACGACGATGACGAGGACGAAGACTGGGACTGTTGTTTGTTGATGGGCGGTGGCTCGGCGGCGATTGATTCCGGAGCCTCGTACACCAGCTCACCCGACTGCTCTATGGTCACCCACTCAAACTGATCACTGTCCTTGGCCTTCTCTTGCGAGGCCGAGGGCACCACTGGGGCACTGACCTGGAAACAACAAAGAAGGAAGAAGGAAAGTGAATTATTTGTTGATATTTGACACAGACAAATGTGACCTCTGTTTTTAACCCATCACCAAAGTGAGCAGTGGGCAGCTTTAAGCGCCCGGGGAGCAGTGTGTGGGGACGGTGCCATGCTCAGAGCACCTCAGTGGTAACTTGGCAGCTGGCGGACTCGAAACCTGAAACCTTCCGGACCTAGTCCGCTTCCTTAACCACCAAGCCACCACTGCCCCAACAACGTCTCGAATGGTGTTGATCAACGCAGAGTAGATTTGAGTCTGTACTGATTTTCTTTAATGACCACTTGTAAACAAACCACTGCCTCTGTTAAAGGATTCTGTACTTTTTTTTTTGTATTCTGGATTGACTAACAGCGTATTGTTGTTTGGTACTGAATACTTTGAACTGTCCTTGTTGTTATAAACTCACATATCATTACAACTAAAAACCTTAAGGAAGTAATGACAAATAGAAACCTAATGTTAAACCAGCACTGTGTTAATACGTTGCATCGCTACATGACTGTGTGAATAGAGTACGGGCAGGATGGAACAGCTGGAGAAAAGTGTAGAAAGAAGAGCTACATGACCGTGGCGCTCACCTGTTGAATGACATCAGGGTAGAGCATAGGCAACCTCTCCGCGATGAGGGCCAAGCCGCCCATGCCTGCGAAGACCTGCAGCGGTGACTGGATCGGGTTGGTCTCCAACAGTGACTCATCAGTGGCAGCATCCAAACCTTCGTCACTGGCCATCATGGGTTCATCTTCAGGGCAGCTGTTCAGTGTCTCACAGTGATCCACTGTAAAGAAAGCAAAGAGAGAGAGAGAGAGGACATTTTTCAGTGGGCTGTTGTACTGTGTTGACACTCATACACTTAAATGATAAAAAGGTTGGTTTCAAATGGTAGATAAACATCGAGGTGTTAAAAAGGTAAAGTACATCCATCGGTGATTCTGTGTGAAGAGCCGACTTAACAAGACAGTTTTGGGCCTTGAACCAGAAGTCAGATTCAAGGCCACTTCCCTCCGAGTTCACATAACTTTCAAACTTCTGTAGGTTTTCACGCCTGCAAACAGTGTTGCCGTAGAGTCGGATAAGAGGCGTGGGCATCAAGGACACGCAAAGTAGCACTAAAGCGATGACTGACAAAATGAAGGATGAAAAGGCTAATCGTGTTCACTCAATCATAGTAAACAGACATTACCGTGGCATGGCTGGGTTCATACTTATGAAGATCTCTGGGGGATTGATAGGCCGCCTTCCAAAAAGCTACTTACTGTATCACCTCAGCGAGAGGAGAGAATCAGGTAAATGATTTACCGCTCGGCTCTCTGCACTACATATTTTCACGCTGATGAATTAAGCAGATGCTGCGATGCTTTATAAAAGGCTTTTAACGCTGATTAGTGTCCCGGCATTCCAAAATGGGATTAGGAAAAGCTTCAGATTTAGGGAGAAGCATAATGAATGAACCTATTCTTTCATACGAGCGAAAAACCATGAAGACAAATGACATTACGCAGACTCCCTGGGTTTTTTTTTTTAAACGGAGGTTTCACAGAGACATGTGCCACAAGCTCATTGTCTGAAGGACATGGACTCCTTCACAGTGATTGATGCAAGAGGTTTGAATGATTGCTTACAACGTACATAGATCCATAAGGGTCTGATATGGCGGAGTCTATATTTTTAAACCTGCAGCATTATCAGGAGTAAGTCCCTGCAATTGCCCTTCATTTATCGTCCCGAAAAAAAGGGAGGTTTTTTTTGGATAATAAATTTGGTAAATAGAGATAGTCAGGAAAGTCATTTAAAATACTTGTTCCTGAACCAGTTCAAGGAAAATTATTTGGCATCGTTCAGAGAATCAAACGCTTGATGCCAAGTTCAACTCATCCACTGGGCCACTTGTCAGTGTTAAGTATTTCAGTACTGCTGTGTGTACTGCTGTTTGTTAACCAAGCAGCTACGAAGACGTATTTCTGTCTTACTGTCTCTGTTCATTACCTAATAATAATATAGTAAGATCTGGTTAGGTTTTGGCCGTGTGGTTGAAACTATGCTTGGTGTAAAATAAAAAAGCAACTGCTCTGTGACAACCACTCACTAAGAATACAGGATGAAGCAAATACCCAAAGTTGTCATTTTGGGACGCAGCTCGAAATTCAGGTTTTGGTTGCCGTTACTTCATTCTCCGTTCTCTATTAATTCCCTGAGGGAAATCACTCTCTAGGCATTTCAGCTATCAAACACCACACCTAAAGGCTAAAAGGACCGTGGAACTCCACGTTTGTGTACCTTTCTCGGTGCGCAGCCTCTTGAAGGAGTCAGTCTTGGAAAGTCCAGGGTCAGAGATGACCTTGGAGCCCAGTTTGACCGTCAGGTTGATGGACTGGTAGCCCTGTGGCTGCTTGCGGTCATACAGAAGCGTCAGTAGCTGAGCTAGAGTCATCTCAGGTGGAAGGGGTTGACCTGGGAGGGCAAATTTAAAAAGGTCAAATTGTTGTTGTTTGACAAAACACCAATCTCCTGTAAGAAGACAACTGTAAGATGTCAGCAGCACGTCCACTTGGGAATAGTACACGTAGTACCTGGAAGCAGCTTGTGGTAAAGGTGGAAAACGGGCACACTGATGGTTTTGGATGATGAATCCACACCAGATGACGCATTCAACTTGTCACTCATCACACGTCCTCTCCTGGACGGGGGACGAGGGGGAGTAGAAAGAGCCCGTTTGGACTGGGACTTCAAGCCTGGTAGAAGAGGAAGTAAATATGATGAATGCAGAAACAGTGGAGAGTTGTTGTAGCACTGAGCACGTTGACTAAAATGATAGGATTTTTTATAGTTGTTTGTTACTGCAGTGCACGTATACTCGATTCACATTATAAAGTGATTGATATTATGAGGGGCAGTGGTGGCTTAGTGGTTAAAGAAGCGGACTTGGTCCAGATTTGGTTGTGTGCAGTGATGTGTTCCTTTATGTCAACACAACTGTGCAGCTTTGAATGGCACTGTCCCGACACACTGCCCCCCAGGCGCTTAAAGCTGCCGACTGTTCACTTTGGTGATGGGTTAAAAGCAGAGGTCACATTTGGTTGTGTGCAGTGACGTGTTCCTTTATGTCAACACAACTGTGCAGCTTTGACAAACTCTTGAAATAAATATCTGCTTTTACTGTAAAACTCAAACCTGAACAAATAGGGTTAACAGTTAAGAGGGCAAACATATTACCAGATGCAACAACAACACTGTAGTTGTCCTGGAAGCCACAGTCAGCTTTCATCTTCTCTCTCTCCTCGTGGTTTTTCTTCTCCTTGTCTTCCTTCTGCTCGTTGATCAACTTGGCCGTGATGCTGGGAGTGTCTGCGAAATAACAAAACACACAGTAAATCGCGGCAATGATCTCAGAGCGAGACTTTTCAACTTTGGAATAAAAAACGTCTTCTGAGAGAAGGAAAAAAAAAAAAAAGCTCTTTTAAACTTATGGGCACCGGTGTGAAATTCATTTACTTTGGAAAAGACATGAGATATCTGTGTTAATAAGTACTTTTTTGAAGGTGAAAAATATTCATATTCAAACGGGCTTAAGACACATATACTTTAGCCATATCACGCATATGCAATGTAATCATTTGTTATCTTGTTGTTTGCAGAGTTATTTAATAATAATAGTAGTGTTTTGTCACTGTACGGATTCATTGATATAACCTTCACATTTAGCACTATGGGAACACAACATCTGCAGACTCTTCTCCGACTCTAATGCTAGAAGCAGAACATTCTTAATGACAGTTCAGGGAGAAAGTGAGTGTTTATTTCCAGCTAACAACAGCAGGTAACATAATATTCAGAAGGAAAGTCAGTGTTCCAACTTCAAAAAGTGTCATCACTGAAGAGAAAAGTGAAAGGAGGGTCCAATTCTATCACATGCTTAGACTTAAGCAATACCAGCTTTGAGCGTCATGTAATAACATGTATGAAACTCAGCAAATTGTCAGCTCTAAATGCAAAGAAGAATATTTGCTTTGAAATATGTGTCAGTTTGTCTTCGTCTATTTAACCAGAGTAAATCTTTAAACTTCAGTTTGTCCTTTTACCAATAATATGTACTTAAATGCATTAGATTTGAACAACAGAAGAAGTTTGATCATAAAAAAAGACATGGTAGAACTGGGGAAAGAGAGCAGAGTTAAAAAAAAATTTAAAAAAGAGAGAAAGAGGTGTTTTTTTTTTTCTTACCAGAAACCCGGTCCAGGACCTCAGCCAACGTGGTGGAGATGGGCAGGTGGAGGGTGCGATACTTGTGTCCTGCTCCATACATGGGATGTTGAATCATATGGCTTGTGGCATTGATGCGTCCTTTGTACAACTGAGCACAAGTGGAGATGAGATGGTAATGGGTTAGAAAATATATTGAGTAGTTCAGGAATATTTTAGTTCTGAATTAAATAAAAATAATAATAAATAATCGTGTTGTGGTTATATTAGCTTTAATTAATTAATGTTAATATTTCAAATGTGTCATTCTGTTACCATGGTACTATCCTTGGAGGTAGTAAGGATTTTCTTATTAGAAAAAATACATACAAGTGTCTAAGCCAGCATCAATATGAGCAGATTAAAGTTGAAGGAGTGCAATTCTTATTGTTGCACTGCCCCACTGTGGTCACAAATAAAAACTACATCCATAATTTGTGATGGTGATTTGCAATGGCTCCTCTGTTCTGATTCTTAGTAATTTACGTAAAATAACAGCATCACCAGTTGAAGACAAACAGGAAAAAAAAAAGCTATTTTTTATGCAGTGTTCAATTAATAGCTTTAAAACTCACCGGACATGGAGACTGTAGGAAGACGGTGACCTTCTCGTCCTCCAGCATCAACTGCAGAAATAGTCGTCTGATGAAGCCTGAGATATTTCCAGAAATTGGAACGTTGCCTCTTTTGGGTGCAGACTGGAAGACTTCACAGAGAACCTGTAGGAAAAAAAACATAACAATATGGGTCAGAAAATAAATGTACGGAAATTTAAAAAAATGAATCCTGGATTTAGAAAATAAGTGTGTCCAGACCTGTGCCATGAGCCGCTGATTGTTTGGGTGACAGGAGATACACTGGAGGAAGAAGGCCACTGTGGCATTCTCCAAAGCCGTCCGCTGCTGGGTAGTGAGCCCACCTGATTGTCCAGAAGTGTGCAGAGAGAAGCGTGACCCTGAATGATGAGACGAGGATGGAGAAGCTGCTGCTGCTGCCGCCGCCGCCGGTCCGTAACTCAACTGACAACCCGAACTGGCACCAGCGCTGGCACTGGAGTGGCACAGTAGGAAAAGCAAGGCCGTCCACAGCGGGTTGACCTCAGGACCACCCAACCAGTCTTTCATGGCGTGACTGTTTCCGACCTCGATGAGGAAGCGCAGCACTGGCGCAGCCAGCTCTGGAGCCAGAGGAGGCCTACTGTGTGAGGAAGCGGAGGACGAGTGGTAGTGGTGGTGGTGGTGTCTCCGGTCAGCTTGGGCAGAAGGCAAGGGGAGATCTGCACTGGCCAAGAGCCCGACACAGAATTGGGCTAAACTGCGAACTAACAGCGAGGGTAAGCCTGAGTCGAGCAGCTGCTCTATCGCACTTGGAGACTGGGAGGCGGCCGCCAGCAGGGTCAGCTGTGACTCCGACAGATTGGTGGGGCATCTGGCATGTTTGGAGTCATCCGTAAGTCCTGATGCGCTAGCGTTGGCGTCATGCTGTTTTTTGCCGTCGTCAGTCATGGCGTGGCGGCAGTGCTGCGCCTGAGTATGGCTGGCATTGGACACTGAGACGACACCCATCCAGGACATCAGAAGGGAGAAGTAGCTGGGGTGGATGTGACACATGGCACACAGCAGGCTGTCCACAGCCTTTTTCAACACGATGTTGCACGGCAATGACATGGACCAGTTGTACAGCAGTCTGGAAGAGGGAACAACAAGAGTGCATTAACATTCTGTCAGGAATCTCCAGTGGTTTTAGTCATAGTGAGAGATGAGAATGTCCCTAAGTCCCTAAGACGGACTGTACAGCATGATCAGTGTAAGACGTGCGGCAGCTTTGGAAGAGTAACTCAGCGCCATCTCTCCGTGTATGTGCACTTACTCAAAGAGCTCCCGATTGAGCAAAGCAGGCAGATCATAGTCAACAGGCAGCTCGTAGCTGTGCCACAGGATGGCTGCGACACAGTGCAGGTGGGAGGGTGAGGGCATGAGGAGGCCGTACTCCCTAAGAGACGTCGAGGACGAGGCACCACCGACTGCCGAATACCCCATGGGCCCAGTCAACTTATGAGCTGCCACCCGGGAGGAGTCATGGACCCACTGAAGGAGAGCCTGGATCCTGGAGCAAAACATATTAATATACAGCTTATGAACACAAGCTAGAGACACGAGACGACACCTGTAATTTCTCACAGTCATCATCAATCTCCTGAGAGAACGCGTTATTTGTCGTATAAACAGGTTGTTCGTTTTTACCTGTCTTTGGTCCCTAAATCCTGCGTGGTTCCCAGTTGGTACAGAATGTCAATGGTAGAATCCGAAGAAAGACCATTCAGCCGGCCAAAGAGTAAAGGACTGTTTAGATCTACGAAAAAAAAACGGAAGCAAAAAGTAGAAAACAGAGGTGAAACACTACAACAAAGAGGAAAAGACTATAAGACTGCAAACACATTTATATAAAGAAATGGCAGAGCTGGTTAAGATGTCACAAATAGAGTTCTACAGTAGTAGAAATGTCTGATTCAAAATAAGAATAGATTAAAAATGTATTTGGATTTTTAACTCTCTATTTCATTAATCTGGTGCCTGGAATAAGGGGCAGTGGTGGCTTAGTGGTTAAAGAAGCGGACTTGGGTCCGGAAGGTTTCAGGTTCGAATCCGCCTAAACATTTTGTAGTTCACTTTCTTTCACTTTCCTTAAATGATCAAGAAAAGATTACGTGCTAATGAGCTACGTTGACAAGGATGTTTTGTGTGTCTACAGCTTTGAGCTGTAGATATCATCCCTATTTAACCTCCCTGAAACTAAGATACGGCTGCAGCTGTGTGTGACCTACTGGCTGGATCGGTACCGGACGCAGCACAGTTTCTCAGTAGAATGTCAATGAGCTTGAGTCCGATGCGAGTGGACTGCAGGCCGATCTTGACGAGCACGGCCTCGATGTTCGGGGAGTGCATGCCGCAGTAGGGTGACATGAGCAGAGCTGCGCAGGTCTGCAGCAGGTTGGCAGTGGGAGCTGCAGCGCTGGCCATCATGGCTTCCAAGTCGCTGACGTGCGTTAGGCAATGGTGGAGGAGACGCAGCCAACCGATGCTGTAGAGAAGAAAGTCAATTTAAATTGATACAAGCCTCTGTAATTTATATTGTTTTTCTAATATTGTTGTTTTTATAATGTGTTTTTCCTCTTGCTGCACTGTAAACTGAAGGGTTTTGACATATTACAGATTTTATATTGATCTGAATCCTGGTTCAGCTTTACCTGGTTTTTGACACCTGGTCCTCAGACGGCAGGAAGGGGTTGTTGACGGTTGCAGAGGAGGTGTTACCGAATGCTGTCAGGCCTAGAAGTTTGATCTGAGACAGACCCAAAGTACTGGCGTCGCGAGGTCGGTGCAACCTGAGACAAACTGCTGAGGCGACCTCTGCCTTCACCAGCTGGATTTTTATGTAGGTCAAACCGCTGGTGATGACCGGTGTAGACAGCGGCAACATATTGACCCCGTCGGCACTGATCTCCACAGAGACCGATGATGGGCATGCTGTTAGTTAATGGAGAGAGAGAGAGAGAGAGAGATGATGAAGTTTCATGAGAACATCAGTGGATCATTAAACAAATCACAAAGATTAAATCACTTATGCTGTACTTATAATGCAACATGTACGACATTATTACTCACTGGCTAGAGAAGCAAGGTGAGGCTGGATATGGAGCTCCTTTAGCAACACAGCAGCAGGGAGATGAATGGTGAGGTCACACCAGGCCTCCTCTGGCAAGAAGATGTAGGACCAGGCTGCAGAGCGAGCGCGACGGTGAGGTGGTGTGGCCTGGAGGAGGACCTCTGCTGGCTGTGCGGTGGGGCTGCTGGATGTAATAGTACCTATAAAAGAGCAATTTGTTTTTTTTTTTATTAAAACAAGGAAGATTATACTGTTTGTTTTTAAAAATCTAAATCCAAAGATAAAAGTACCTAATGGGGCAAAGTTGTGAAGCCCTTCAGCATTGTCCGGCTCTGAGGTCATCACTCTGGCTTTGAGGTTGCCATCTGTGGCCTTTCCAGGGCCCGAGTCCAAGAACTTCATGATGGTGGAAACCATGCTGCGTGCTGTGTTCACAATCGCCCGTGTGCTGGTCACCATGTTGTTGCAGATCAACTGTACGCCACCTATGTCCGGACAGAATAGACAACGACTCTAGATCAGGCGAGGGCAAACTTTTTGACTCGCGGGCCAAAATTTGTCCTAAAATTTGACAGTGGTGAGAAGCAGATGGATGGAACTGAGATAAATGACATGTAAATGTCATGCATTAAGGGTAAATGCTACAATGCTTTTATCATTTTCTACGCCATCTATTGGGGAAACGTGGGTAAAGTATGATGATAAATAAAGATACAGATGAATTATATCATTTGGAAAAGTTTGGCGGGCCGGATTAGAAAGCTAAACGGGCCTTGTCCTTTGTCCATGCCTGCTCTAGCACAGGTGATAACACTGTTCACATATTAGGGCATTAATAACTTAATCAAATTAAAATAGCCTTTTATCAACAGGTTATTATTGTATATATGTATGTATGTTTTGGAAAAACTTTTCTCTGTCCAGAGCTTTTAAGAACAGGCATAAACAGAGATCCTTATACGGACAGATGATTTGAAAAGTCACTGTATCTTTCTGAGGTAATGCATGGAGTAACTAGCATTACAACAAAAGAGATCTTTGTGCAAACAGGATGTCTCTGAAGAGATACTTCCTGTTCTTTTACATTCTTTGAATTGAAATATGCTGAAGGGTAAATGTAAAGTTGACTTAAGGAAGCCTTGAATAAAAGCCGTTAAATGCAATCAACACACGTATTGCTGTACAAACCCATGTCGTGAAAAGCCTTGAGAGCTTCAGTCGTGTCCAACACTCGGAGGATGAACCACAGGAGAGGCTCGGAGAGCTGACACGTGGACAGTGAACCCTAAAAAGACACATTTTAGTCGGCTGTTGTATCGTTTGTTTATTTCTGCATGAATTCATAAGCAACAGGTTTTGACGTTTACCTGTCTTCCCATGTATCCACAGGCCTTTATTCCTGCATGAATTCGTTGTTGCATAATTCATTACCTGTCTTCCCATGTATCCACAGGCCCTGTATGTCAGAATGGGTTGCAACATGACCTGGACCGAGGTGGCTCTTTTACTCAGAGTGGAGAGAATAGTGAACAGGCCGTCACCAACCGAGATGGCATCGAGACCTCCGTGAAAGTTTTCATGTTTGGTGAGGTGGAGGCCACTGGCTCCTAAACACCAGAGACGACAGTCAGCACATCTCACACACACAACAACACTGACAGAATCCAAAAGGAAACACTCTCTCTCTCTTCAGTTTTCTTACCTATAATCATGGCCATGGCGCTGCTGTTGCACTGGCCCAGAGCTGACAAAATCTGGCTCATGATCTGCTGATTGGCCAGAACCAGGTCGGCCACACTGGCAGGAGGGCCGTGGCTGCACGAAGATCCACCGCTCACACTCTCTTTGCTGCCACAGACCTTCTCTTCATCAGACACGCTGCTGTCTGCACCCGCACTGCAGGCCGGCGGCAGCCGTCCACTGAACTCTCTGTCCCCAGACAGGGGCAGCTGCACCAGCACGTTGACCAGTTTGAGGAGGTCAAACATTAACTGATCCCGCGTTGTTTCTCCGCAGACGGCCTTTGCGTCTCCCGGACGGATGACGTTTGCGAACAGGCCGCCGAAACAAGCCCGAGCACCGACAGAGCTGTCCGAGCCGCTGCGGGACACGACCTTATCAGAGCAGGTGATGTAGTGATGAACCAAGAAGGTGATGGACTCGATGACAGAGGAGATGGTGGCCACAGACACCACCTCGAAGTTTTGCTCCAGGGTAAACTCCAGCAGCTTCACTTGGGCATCCAGTGGACCCTGGCCAGACTGGAAAGGACCCCTGAGTGAAAAAAACAAAATCATCAGCTCCGACATTGACCTTATTGGATATTGGATGTGAGATTGTGTATGGTAGATATGTGCGTATGTTATTAAAATTCTGCAATGGGTTATAATGGAAATATCCATAACATAATTGAGCTGTCCTTGCTTAAATATACCCATCAATTACGTCATTGATCAGTATAGTGAAAGGACAAAAAAAAAAAAAACTGACTACATACTACATGCACGTTATCAATCCTTTCGTAAAACCTACCTCTCGGTAGACAGGATATGCATGAGCTTGAGCAGGAACTCGCTGAACATTTGCGGACAAGTGGAGGACAGGTGGACCTGCAGACGGCTCAGGAACTCCTGCATGGCCTGGGTGGCGGTGGGCCCCACCTGGGAAGTGTGTTGGCTTGTACCGTTGGTGCTGCTGCCTGACAGGAAGCGTACCAGAACATGTACCAGGTTGGGATCAGAGACCATCTGCTGCGCTGTGCTTTCTTGAGAGCTCATCCCGTTGCTGGAGGCTGTGTGGTCAAAAGAAAAGAGTTGAAACTGGGATATTGTAAAGTGTAAAAACAGTTGCTATAATAAAAAGGTAGTTTAAAAAAAATCTAAAATAATTGGTAGACATAACCTAACAAGTAAACATGAAAACACTTTTTTTTCAATGTGTCATTTAAATCTGTATATTTCTCAATATTCCATCATTTATGTCCATTATAATTTCATTTCATACTCAATTCTAAGGAGTTTTATCCCTAAGATATTATCAGAAGGCTAAGGTGACAATTACAATACGAAAATTGACCTCAAATATAATGGAGCCTAATTAAGGATATGAAACTGACCGCAAGCAGTCATGTTGGTCATTAGAGTGAGAGAGTGCAGCACCAAGCACCAAGTTCTCAGGGAGGTGTTAGGGTACCACGCCAGCACTGTGAGGAAACTGCTAATGGACGCTGCATGTACAAAAACATAAAAACAAAAAGTTAATTGGGTTAAAAAAATAAAAAAAAGGCCAGGCCTCTACATGTCCAACAACAATTAAAGCCCAGGCCTCTACATGTCCAACAACAATTTTTGACAAGACTTCTGACCTTGGTTGAGAGGAATGGTAGGTACTCTGCTGGCGTTGAACAAAAATATGTCAGAGCCGCTCTCTTCACTGCTGCCACACGTTGTGTTGAGACTGAGTGTTAACCACAACTGCAGCAGGGACTCCAGCTGAAGGAGGAAAAATGTCTTCATGAGCACAAAAAAAAACAGTCAACTGTTTTCACCAACTTCCAAGAAATGTGTGCAACGTCTCAAAGCAATGGAATTAAAAAAAAAAACTGGTCATTTACACAAAGTCCGCTGGTGATGCAGAAGTGAAAAGAGGATGTTCTGACCTGTACGTGATGCACCTGCAGCATGGAGAAGAGCTTGTTAAAGCAGGAACTCAGCATCGGGATGGATGAGGGCTGGACTGCAAGTGTGCCGCCCGGGGGAGAGCCGCCTCCGTGGAGGGCCCTCAGCAGAGAGTCATCAGTTCCATTAGAGTTCTGGTTTACTGGGAGTCAGAGTAAACATATTTTAGAAAGCTTAGGCTGTTGAATACTGCAGACTGTGCTCTCTGTTAGGCAGATATTTACAAGAATTACTAGTGTTTCCATGACGACGCATGGAACTATGTATTACTGTTACTGTGTTACTTAGTGTTTTTTTTATGTTACAAATGTGTACACACCTGTGGATGAGCTTGATGTGAGGGCCTGTAAAATGGAATCAGCCTGAAGAGTAGCCATCATTTTGAGCATCAACTCGGCTTGTTGTTCTAGTCCCACTTCTAACCGTGCATCAAGAGCTGAAAAAAAAACAAAGGTCAAAGAGCATTAAAAAAAAAAATCAAAATATTTACTTAAAAGCCAGTGAGGAAATTCAAATACAGGTCTGGCCATGGCTTACCCTGTGAAACTGACACCGACAAACTCTGTGACCCAGGCTTTTCAGCGGCCACTGGAGGTTTGGCAACAGGGATACCAACCCCACCAATGTAAGGGTTGTACCCGTATGTCCCATAATCAGCACCCCAGTAGTCATACCAAGTGCTGCTTATAGGCTTAGAGGACAAATAAGAAAAGACACAAAGGTCACGGCACAGTCTTAGAATGAAACCAACAATAAAACGATAAGATTAAATCAGACTATATTTATTTATTTGTTTATTTATTTATACGATTAAATCAGACTATATTTATTTATGTTACTAATGAGGGTTATTGTTATATGTTTTGAGGCTGTATACAAGAATATCAAAAGTCTCTGTTCTGAGGGCTCGTGACATTGCAATAGAAATGAATTGTGAAGCTATTTTTAAAATGCGTTTCCTAAATATATGATCTGGTGACGACAAAAATAGCGACAAAAAGTGCCCTCACCCAAATCTGGAGATGTGATGCAAAACAAAAAGTCGTACAACATAACTGTTCTGCTACATTCATTAAGCAGTGATTACCTGTGTTTGTTTGTATGGCTGTTACCAGATAGATGGAACAGAATAACAATTCACATACCTTAAAGACTTTGGCAGCGAGTGGATCTTTTTCCAAATCAATATCTAAAGGATCAATATCAACATCCATCAGGTCTTGTAGCAAGTCAAAGTCTATGTCTTTATCTTTTTCCAAAGATGACAGAGGTGGAGCACCTTTGGATAACGAAAACATCTTTAATATAGCCAAATAAAAACACTAGAAAATAGAGAAACTGCTTCCTTTGATTTTTTTATGTTATTAGAACGGTGATTCCCAACCCCTCTGCTATCAAATGTTCCAATTTGTGTTCAACCAAACGGGTCAAGGTTTTATATTGAGCGAGTAATCCGAAAGTAGAAGATATTTCATTACCGTACATGTTTTGTTTAGGGGTGCGCCGTGAATTTAGAATGCAAAACATGCGCCGTGGCTCAAAGAAGGTTGGGAAACACTGCATCACGCTAATCAAACAGTCAGATCAACGATTATAACATAAATGTACATAACAAAAAAAAATGTAAAGAAAAGAAGTAAAGAGCTGACAGGTCTACCCACGCACTTTGGAACACTGAAGAGTTCGCGGCACCTGCGATGATATCAGGCACCAGGGCCTCATCGATGCTCTCTACCAGAGGAATGGGTGCTGGCTGAGGCTGAGCGTCATCCAAATCAGCGCCCACAGAGGAGGACGACGCCCCGGCCTCCTCACCCACGACTTCATCCATGACATCCAGAAATCCTGGGGACAGCAGTTCACCTGAAATAACAACAAGTTAATCCTCCTCAGAAAAGATCCTGAAATAATATCTTGTGGTTGTTTGAGCAAGTTTATTTTGCCCCACAGTTTAAGCCAATGAGAGCAGAAGTTAGACCTACCCGCCAGTATGTCCTGTAGCATACACGTGAGGGAATACTGCGCCCACGCACCGCCCCAAGAGATGTCGCCTCGGTTGAAATCTGTGCCCACGAGTAGAAGCAGCAGCCGTTCCAGCTGATGCTCAGACACCACCTCACACAGATGGATTGTGGGTCTTGTAGCATTGGCTATCCTTGCAAGGACCTAAGCGGAAAAACAAAAAGTATTGAATTATTAAATATCAGAGTCTCGGTGCGCGGGGCATTTTTGCACTCGATCAGCCTATCAGCCATCTACCTTGCAGACAAAGAGCAGCAGGTCAGCGTGGCAGGTGAAGTCCATGGAGAGAAGGAAGAGGGCCAGCTTCTGCACCACAGATATGCAACGCTCGTGGGACAGCGTAAAGGGCAGAGGTTCGACTTCTGGAGCTTCTTTGGTCGTCGGAGACTCGGTGTCCAGTGTGGAGCGAGGCCATTCGGCCGTCCGCCGCAGACGGATCAGGTCTTTAAAGTGCTGCAAAGAGCGGACATTATGGCATTAGGCTGGACAAGCAGCTCCTTATTTGAGTAAAGCGGCTCAAGGTCCAGTGCTGTGCTGGTTCTTTTTTGTCACACAGTAAACACTCCTGGCTACAGGGCAGAAAAACAGGATCAAGTAGGTTTAAGACATTTTCTCAGGGGTTTTTGAAAAACGTACAGTTACTAGTTATTAGTATGAATTATTTTATAACTATTCCTGCCAAAAATATGTCTTCAGTTTGTCTTATGTATGTCTTCAACGGGAGGGGGCAGATCTGGAAGATATATATAGTTCAGCTGAACAATGAAGATATTTATTTCTACATAATCTTATAGACAAAAACTGTTGTCGTTCTTGAACACGTAGCTATGAACACCGTCCGAAAGTGTGAGGGTGACGTTGTGAGGACATTTGCTGAGATGCAAACCTTGGATGTGGCTTGTTTTAGCTTGGCCTGCTCCACCAGCAGTTTGTAGGAGGAACCTTTGTTGCTCTGGATTTTCTCCTTCTCAATCTGCTCCACCAAAGCTTTCTGCTTTGCTTTCAATAGATTTAACTGCTAAAATAAAAAGAGCAGGATAAATACAAGAACGACTTTTTTTTGATTAAGGTGAAAATTCTTTAGCCACAAGGAGAACATTTTTTTTTTACATTCTGAATCATCCCTTTGTGTATGAAAATTATGCCGTTGGTGTTAAATGTTAGCTGAAGGTGGAATGACACACATTTACCTGTTTATGGTGGACGAGCTGCTTGCGGATCTTTCGTGAGTAGAGTCTGTCCAGACTGCTGCTGCTTTTAGCTGCCCTGGTCGAGTTCTGGGACTGGAGGCTGTTGTTGATGAAGCTCCACTGAATACCTTAAGAGAACAAAACAAAAACAACCAATAGTGGCAGTTAAAAAAAGACAACCTTAAGTCTGATTAAATGAAATGGCGAAAGAATGAGAGAAATTAAATGATAATTTAATATAAATACGTAGGTATACTATATACTCCTTTGCATTTACTAACCTGTAAGACTTCTTTCCCTCTCTTTTCCACCTAGGTGCTTCTTTGAACCGGAGGCTTCGTCTTCTGTACTGGCGACGTAGTCCAATAATCTGGACACCAGCATCACCACCCAGCTTATCATTGGGATGTCCAAAACACCTGGCACAAAAAGACGCACATGAAAAATCACTCCACGTGCTTTATTTTCTCAGGGTGAAAAAATTTCACACGTGTGATGACATCTATACCTTCAGTCCTGCGAAGGGCCGCAGCTTGCGGCTGCTCCAGAGGACAGAGAAGGTTGTCCAGGAGGTTGAGGAGTCCCTCCAATACACCACTGTTACTCAGGGATCTTTGGCCAATGCAGGACAAGAGCATGAACACCCTGGAATACAGAGAAATGTAAAAAAAAAATCCAATGAGTAATTTTCTTTAGGGACTGAACATGACTTGAGCAACAAAATAAAAAAAATGTAAAAATTTTGATTTCATGATACCATCTTAAATTTTTGAGTTTATCTTTGATGCAGCCGGGCAAGTAACAAGCTGTAGTTGAAGTAGCAGAAAGAGTTCCCAAAATGTAGTTATATCTGTGCATTTGATGCTTCGACAAATTAACGGCATTTGTCTTGGTCTGACAGATTAAAGTTAGTTCTGCAGTAAATATTTATGTGATGTCCTGTAGTTGTACGGACTCCAAAAATCACTCACCTGTCCTGAGGAAATATAAGCAGTTGCTCTGAGTTGTACAGCTCCTGCAGGACATTTGAGAGGAACTGGCCCCACCAGCGTTCGCCTCCACAGAGCTGAACTAGCAGAAGGCCAGCGTGAAGGCGAATCTTGGGTGTCCCACTGATACATAGATGCTTGAAGAGCTCCTCACAGGCCTGCGCATGGAAGATATTCTGGAGAACTGAGGGCACCGAGTGACCTAAATAAACAAGAGATTTGTCGTTTACGTTATGTCGACATTATTATCACATTATTTAACTATCAGCAGATGCCAACAGATCTCTGCTAACCATTGTTGGAGTGCAGCAGGCTAAGCAACGTGTCCAGCAGGTATCGAATGATGGTCCTCAGCTGCTCTGTGGATGAGCCGAGAACCAGCTCCTGGGCCTCTGGACCGCTGGCTGTGAGTAGTGACTTGCGGCTGGCGCCCAGCGACACACGTAGTCGCTGCACGGCGTGGTGAGCCAGGTTCAGTTGCAGCTGTAGCTGTATGCAATCCTGGTAAGCTGAAAAAACACGCTGGTCCTCCTCCACCACCTTGTCTGGTTTCCGTAAGAAGTACTGAGCGTTGTTAGCGCTGTTAAGCGGCGGCAAGTCTATGTTTTGTAGAAGGGTCTCCAGTCGATGACAGGCCAGATTGTATCTGGTAAAAAATAAATTAAAAAAAGAGAAAAAAAATGGGATTTTGGTAGATGTGCTATTGCAAAATCTCTGAAAATAATGTAAATCTAAATTCCTTTGTCAGTCCCCACCATATGATTAAATATGGTGTTAAATAATCATGTATGATCATATGTATATGTATATGTTATACATATTTATCTATATCTTATACTCTATTTATATATATAAATATATATAATATTTTAATACTATATATATATATATTATATATACATATTATATATGTATAACACCATATAATATTATGGTGTACTAGTATATATATATATATTTATATGTATATAAAATATATATATAATATAAATTATATAGAAATAATATATATTTTATATATATTTATATATAGATAAATATATATAATATTTGGTATATACCAAATGTATATGGTACCATAATACATGATTAAATAATATATATCATTGTATATATACAATGATATATTGTATGTAATACAATATATTCTACATGTCTTGTATATTTAGCAGTCCGTTTGGTCTATTTTTTACATGGTGTGGACTGGATGGTCAGGTGGGCCAGATTCGAACCGCGGGCCTTTGATAATCACTTTTAGGACATTGACATTGATACCGCGCACACAAGCAGGACTGTACACCACATCTCACCTGCACTGGATGTCCTCTTGCAGAGCCACCATCATGGTCAAGTGCTGATCAATATCTGGCTGAGTCGCTGCCTCACTTTCACCTCGAAGAGGATCGTGGATCAACTTCAGCTCGCTTTCCCAAGGCAAGATGTAGGTGTGTCCGTAGTAGAAACCAAGTGGGATCTTTGCTCGAGCGTTGGTGCTGCCGTAGCGACCGATCACAGTGATCTGGTGTTGCAATGGAGGAAACAAAAAAATTATCCACCGCTGTGGTAAACTAAAAAAAAAACAAAACACAAAAGACGATTCAAATGTTCTTATTTCAGACCTTCATGAACCTGTAGACAGGCGGTGGCAGCAGATCATGAAGAATTAAAGAGTGGGTGCTGATGTCGGTGGCCACGACAAGCCTGCGGCCGTCAACTTCCTCTCCAAGTGTCCAGATGTCAATGGACAGAGAGGCCAGGTCGGCACATGTTGGAATCAAAACATCAGTTAGCAGGACAGGGCGACCAAAGTCCAGTGTTACAAAGCGACGAGCTCCTGGGGAAGGAGAAGAGCATATAATTATTTTTTTCTGTTATAAGAAGGCTTAATTTGCTGGTAATTAACATCTTATATTTTTCTTAATAAATGGGAGTAGTTAATACTTCCAATTACTTAAATTTAATATTTAAATAAAGATTGTGTCTCCTTTAAAAAAAAAAAAAAAGCTTTGACATACCAGAATGCATTCTCTCAATGATGATGGACTGGTACGGAGGAGGCTGTAAGAAGTGAGATGCTTGGGAAATGGCCAACGCAAGGCCACTGCCAATTGGACCCTGTGACAAAAGGGAAGTAAAACACCAAATGACGTTTAATTAGGATTTAAACAGCACAGCATTTGATTTGTTATTCTGATATGCGTCCCTCATTTCAATATCAATTTTCTAGTTAATAAACCTCTGCTGTTCGGTACATGTTTTTACGTATAATACAAGGTACAAGAGGTAAATTACAACACCAACCGGCTTCGCTTTCTGTGCGTTTTTGTGCGCAGCCAAGTTGACGGGCCCGGGATCTATCATGGAGCCGGGGAAGAGGTGAGCCAGATCTGCGCTTAAAACTGCTGACACTGCCTCACTTGGCGGCGTGAGCGGAGGGGTCATGAAGAGGGGTGTGGTTTTAGGGGTTGGGGGAATGACATCAGAGGGATGGATGAAGAAGCCAGGAGTGGAGGAGGGGTTAGAAGGCACGGAGTTGTGGATGGGACCCACGCTGGAGGCAGCTACAGCGGCGGCTGCAGAGGTCGTCTGATGCAGCTTCGCCTCCAGTTTGGCTTTCTGTTCAGAGCAGAGAGATTCTATTTTTATTCCCTACTATATTATAAACCTCAAAAGCCATGTTTTAACATCATAAATGTTCAAATTTTCCATAGCTTTTTTTGAGCCCCGCCCTCTGATTTAGCAACCCCAACGCTCCATGTTACTATAGATAGCTTTCATCAGTGCTCGAAGGACCGTGTCAGCAACTCCATTTTACCTGCTGCTGCAGCTTCAGCAGCTGCTGCTGTTTCTCCTGCAGGACCTGCAACTGCTGCTCTGCTGACACCATGGCATGGGACAGAGACTGGAGCGCCACCTGAGCCGCTGAACCCAAAGCTGTAGACGCTTCACCCACCGGCCCTGTTGACAGGCCTCCGACAGCAGGCGTCACGCCGAACGTACTCACTGGAGATGCGGAGCACAGGTTTAGACAATGGTCAGCCGAGAGGGATAATCTGGATCGACCAGTGACTTCAGAGTAGAATCGTCGCTTACCAGTAAACATGCTCGCATCGTCTCGTTCCACGCGCGTGCCGTCACTGGTGGAGATGCAAGTAAAGTGCAAAGGCTCCACCTCCAGGAGTCCTGTCAACGCTGTGAAGCTGCCCTCTGCTGCCGCACAGCTATTCACCTTTCCATTTCCTGCACACGCAACAATTGAAAACAAATGTTTGAGCCGGAAAAAAAACAAAACAAAACATCAGTGCAGACTTACAGTAGTAATATCAGTATTTTGAGCACTTCTCTCTTTTTTCTCATCCATCACTGCCATAAACCACTAATACTACTGTAGTGTAAAAAATATATGTATTATAATGCATCAAAGGGCAGATGCAAAGACAGAAGACAAACATGTGTCTCAAACATGTCTCAAATATGGGAAATTACTTATGTACTCTGGACATTTAATTAAGCATTACAATGTATACTACTTTAAATTACTCGTACACCTTGTACACTCTGTCCTACTCTCTATTGTGAGCGACATTAACACAGCTTTGGCTTTGACATTAACTACATACCCGACAGAATGTCAGAAAGGTCGATCTCATCAGACTGGACTCCAATAGTGCTGTTGAAGGCATTCTTGCAAGAAGAACCGCTGACCTCTAGGTCGAACAGCACGGGATCAAAAGGAGAGCTGTACAGACCGTACCTGCGGGACAAGAACGGACATTTTTAAACGTTAATGAGCCTCTTGCCGTAGCAACAGGGAAAAACGTTATCTAAGCAACTGCACCATAAATATCTTTGTAACAAGAATCAAACGCTGATTTCAGAGGAAAGTGAAGAACTGAAATTAACCTGGTCTGCAGCAGTGCCTCCAGTGGGGTGAGGCGGTCCTGCAACTGTCGTGAAATGGCGGTGAGCAACGAGGCACAGGCAGTGCTGCAGCCCGACAGGTCCTCCTCCTTGACATAGTTCAGCAGCACAAAGTACCAGAAGACAGAGCCTAAAAGAACAAAGAAGAAGATGAAAAAAGGCGAAAAGACAGATGTGGCCTGAGCTAATGTGAGTTTGTGTTGCCTGTGGTTACAATAGCTAGACCTTTCCTTATAAAGCTTTAAAAATGTCAATGATTCGCAAAAAAAAAAAAAAAAATCTTCTGTTCCCATAACTCACTTCACCAAATAAACAACACAATTCTCAAACGTTTTTAAATCATATATCTCTGGTTCAATGGGGTGTTCTGCTGTTCAGTTACTCACCGCCTGTTGCTGAAGCAGGCAAGTAAGGCATATTGTCAAGCAGAGCCTTAAGAAGACTGACTCCAAAGCTGTGATGATTTGGGTCTCCTTTTCCATTGCTGAGGCAGAACATAAGGCACAAATGTTAAGAGATGTTTGTGTTTTTTTTATTTAAAATAGAAAAGCAAAGAATAAAAAAAAAAAGTACCTTATACAAAGTGCAAGAAAGCGAGCGCATTTGTGTGCTATACTTCGGCCAGCTTCAAAGAAACACACGCGCACAATATCCTTCAGACGTGTCCGTGTTTTCACTAGTAGCCCTTCTTTTCCTTCCTTCAAGCTAGAAGAAGAAATAAAAACAATACATCTTTATTATCATTTTTCTTTCTGCAAACTCAAGTTCTTCTTCTTTGTTTTGGATAATAATCTTGCTATGATCTCTATATTCAGACCTGCAGGGTCCGTTAGAGAAAACCCCGGCCAACCAGCACAGGATGTCCAAGATGAGGCTCTGGGCATGCTCAGTGGTGGAGCTGGCCTCCGTGTGCCGACACAGCCCGTCCAACAGTTTCTCGTGGAAGTCTGGGAACTGCAGCATGGCACAGCGTTGGACCCTGGAACCACATCATCACATATGAACAATATAGTCATCGATCAGCTGCTGCAGTATGAACACTGGAAACAGTGATAGAGAGACAGAGAACTGCTCTGACCTTTCTTTGGGCACTGACGTCTTTTTGAACCTTCTGATTGTGACCGAAACTTCCTGCAGGAGATCACAGCCGCGGAGGTTCTCGACTTTCTTTGAGGGAGTGGGCGCCTCTGCTTTGACCGCTGAGCCTTTCTCCTGCGAACGCATGAGCAAACAAGTGTGTTGAAACCCTGGATCAACGTACCGCGGTTGTGGATTTGCAATTGGTGTTTGTGCAGCCTATCAATTCAAAAAGTAATCACACTACATAACACTATGATTTAAGATAGATGCTAGAAAATACATGAACTTGAAAAATAGTGTCACAATGACGCAAATGTTTTATACCTTGGAAGCCTGAGCCCTTTGCAGCAGGGTGGAAAGTGAGTGAGCTTTTGTGCCCTGAGGCCTAGCACTAGGCATTCTAACCACAGGCCTGGAAGTCTCCTCTATGCCCTTGTCACTAACTGCTTTGATGTGAACCAGGAATGAACGGTATTTCCCTCCTGCCATACCTGGGGGGGAAAAGAAACATGAAACAGTTAACTGCACACCTCCGGTCATGTTTACCTTGACTGTAACCTGTTAGAAACGTGTGTAAATAGACCATTAGTACCTTTGACAAGTTTGGGGCTGGTGAGGCTAAGCATGCCTGCATGTCCAGAGAGGTCCAGGCCACTGGCAAGCCAAACCGGACCACACAGGATGTCCTCCTTGTGATCCTCCAGAAATGGACACAAGACGGAGCCTGTTAAAAAGCACACGACAAAAAGACGACAAATGTCATTCCATTTCAAGACTTTTTTTCCTCGTTGCATTTATTTTTCAGGTCCTCCAGGTTGTATATAAACCAAATATGTTATTTTAAGTATTAAAAAAAAAGCTAAAGAATTTAACACTTGTGCTTTAATTGTTTTGAACTATCACCTGCAGGAAAAACGTTTCCTTTCAAGGACAATGAAGCTTTCATTCAAAATCGAATTAAGTCGTTGCAATGGAAGCACAAGTTTCGCGTGTCCTTCATTGGTTATGCAAAGATTAAATAAAAAATAAATTATTGAGATCCAATTTCCTCATATTCCTAATACTCAAAGTCACCATGTGATTCACAGAAGACCATGTTCTTTGTTGTCGCAAACATACAGAGTCATCAGTTGTATAAAATCCTGACGCAACATTTTCTTCAAGGTGGGTACAGCTCCAGTGTGCCAGGGCTCTGCTATGACCAAAGATGTGCAAGCTCACTCTTCTATAGGTCATTGAAACGATTAAGGTGGAATTTTGCCTCTGAATTCAGAAAAAGTCCTACCATATTTTAAATGAGGTTAATGTGAAAAAAAAAAGACAGCCGTATCTTTGAGTTTAATCAAGGGTAAAACATGAATCAGCACTTTAGTTTGAATTTCATTAATCTGCGCCACAATTACAAATTAAAGAGATAGTTCAAGTTTTTTTTAAGTGATATATCAACTACTGATGGCGTACTGACCTCTTGCGCGTCCAACAACGTCACCAGACCTGCAAGTACAATATATGTCCAATTACCTGATGTCTCCTCAATGTCCATAAACTGAATGTCCTCTGTGAAGTCATGCAGCGCAGGCTGGCCATTCTTTTCGCCGTTTGCCAGGAGCACGTTTGAGAGGGGGAATGAGATCTGTCGGTCCACTGATGTCTCTGTTGGAGACGGAAGAAGTCAAATTTACCGTCAGACAGTTTGTCTTATTTCCTTTATCTAAAAATATTATAATTTTACAACCCTAGATGTCTAGATTTATTGGACAAAATTCTCAGCAGTGTCCTCACCGCTGACTTTTCCCAGCCCAGGAGATTTGTTCTTCAGTAATGTGACCTGGATCTGAGGAATGTTGACAATGTTGGCATTCAGAACAAACTTGAAGTCCACGTGGCCGACCATACAGGCTTTCGGCAGCACGACCTCAAACACGTGCTCGTCCCAACTGGAGCTAAAGATAAAAAAAAAAAACACGGAACAAAGAATTTTAATTAAAAAAAGGGAGATGCAGGGAACTGATAGTTTTCCCTTTTGTTTGTCTTTTTATAATACCTGTCACTCTGAAGCTTCCATGTGCGGGTATGCTGCGCTGCATCTCCATGGTGTTGCTGGTGAAGGTGCTGTGGGTGGCGCCGTTGCTGCTGCTCCTGCTGCACTTCCACCCAACAAGGGGGCACCGTGGCCGAAAAGCGGGGGGTCAGGGTTTCGAAACGGATCAGCTCTACCAGGGACATCAAGCTCTCTGTCGTCATGGGTTGGTCCACCAGGAGGTCCACTCCTGTAGTCAAAGTAAAAATGAAGTCAAATTTACTTATATAGGTATATAGAGGGAAAAAATTACATGAAGTGATAGCATATAAAAACATGTACAAGGGTAAAGCATGAGCTAAAACAACATAAAAGAGCAAAACATTAGAGGATATATAAAAATAGACAAAAGCCTGAACAACTAAATACCTCAAAGGAAACAAAAAATATTAAGGTAAATTGTCATTCACCAAATGAATTACCAATGTCAAGTTTAAATTTATACCTGTGATTCCTGGGCTAGAGGGGTTGGAGGAGGGCTTGGCCCCCTCAAGCAGCAACTCAGCCCCTTTAGAAAGGGGGCCATCAATAAACATATCTCCGTCATCTCCGTCATCACACACGCCTCCAATTTGAAGGAAATGAAGTTCTCCACCTATGGAGGGGAAGAGTCAAAATGAGCACACCCAGAAAGTCACAGGGGCTAGTGTTAAGGAAAAAGTCATGTAATTAACAGGACCTACAGCAGGGTCTGACTTCACTGCACTATTGCCATCATATGAACAGTCAAAAAAAAATTAATCTATTGGTGAATTTATATAATTACAACAATTTAAATAAAACATTTTTTCATTGTTGAAGTCGACAAACCCCTAGAACTAGGATAGAAAGAGAAAAACGAATTTAACAAATAATGATATTAAAAGGCAGATGGCTTAAAATATCTTCAATATCTGACTTGATTGTTCAACACAGCAAAATTGTATTAGTACATCGAGTGATTCGTTTGCGCCTCACAGTTCATTAAAATTAATTCCTTTAAACTTTGCAGTTGAAAACAATCTAAATGAATATAAAAATTGTGTTTTTTCAATTATCAATTACATTTATTTGCACTGTTCTTTAAAAGCTATAAAACTATTATTAAACAGCTGAACATTCTCTTTCACATTGGAGTTATTTGACACAAATACAATACAAGTAAAAGGCTGACTTGTCTGCAGAAAAAAAAAAAAACAGACCCAGAACCAATGCACTCACCTTTGGTGCAGGCACAAAGGCGATCGGTCCCAGAGCAATATGTGACTGAAACAAACGGGTCTGTTTCGTCTGCTGACCCCTCCTTCTTAGGCGGTTCCACCTTGGCCAGGACCTCCAATGTAGACAGGTCCAGGATCATAATGTAGCCCGCCTGCGTGGTCACCACTAAATGTCCCAGGCCCGCTACCTCTAAACGACTGCCGTCTTTGAAGCTGGAGGCACCGGTACCAGTGACAGCGGTGCTGCCGCAGCTGGTAGCGGCTGCTCCGCATGCACTTGTTCCAGTTCCAGAGGCAGCGTAGCTATTTTTTTGAGCGGATGGAAGCGTGTCGTCCGAAGCTTCTTCGCTCTCATCCTCCCTGCTATCCAACACATCTGGAGGAAGCAATATGTGAGAGGTGATCGCATCGCAAGAGTCACAAATCTGCTGAACTTTGACCGGTTCTTCGTCCAAGGTGACAATCCGGGTGGAATAGTTAAGCTTGTACAGTGCGAGGTAGCCGCCTCCGCTCCCACCAATTGAAGACCTCTTTTGCTGCTGTTGTCCCGGGGGTAGGATGAGAGGTGTCTGAGGTGGAGATTCATCAGGGTCGTGACCCTCAAAGCCATTGGCCACAGGGTGTAAGCTTTCACCCTTTCGCTGACTACAAAGCGCTGAGTGCAGGCGGTTGAGGTTGTTAAGAGCTTCTACCTGGTTTGTGGCGTTCAAAGTTTCAGCGCCGCACGGCTGCAGGCTGACCAGCAGGTGCACACCATCCGAACAAGGTGTGATGGAGTCTATGTAAAGGTTCTCATCTTCGAGTTGCTTAGGCAACCTCAAGCACTGGACCAGTGCTCCAGGTCGAGGCGGGGCAGACACGCTCCCGGCAGCCAGTGTGCTCCATTTGTCCACGTGGCCATCTAACGCTGCTAGATTCATTGCGGCATCAGCAAACTGCTGAATATAGGTAATGGGAGGATCCTGGAGAAGAAGCTGCTCGTGTGTGTCCAACTCCATCTCGATGATCTGCGGCACAGTAAAGCCCTCCTCGTGGAGACCTTTACTCATGAGATTATTCATCTGGGCAAAAACCTGGCCCGAGGACTTACTGTCCACTTCTCTGATACTGTACAGCAGCAGCACTGGTATAGTCCTGTGCACAGCCTGAGGAGAACAGGGGCTGGGAGGTTGGGAACCTGCTAAATTAGAGAAGCTCTGCTGCACAGCTGCACTTTGAGCATTGCAGATTTCTATCTCCATCGGAGCCTGGTCCTGTACAGGCCCGGGGTGAAAGGGCTCAGGGCCCTGAGTTCTTAAGGGTCCATCTGTGGTCCTGCGTGTTGTGGATGCACCTGTGGGTGGGGGACCAGCCATGGGAGTGCTTGACGCTGAGCGGTAGCTGAGCAATCCTCCAGCCAGCAGGCAGGGAAAGGGAATGTTGTGGTGGTCGGGGACCTTGTCCTTTGCTTTGGTCTGGCTGTGAGTCTTTCCCTGGCTCAGGGAAGGGTTGGCTCCCAGCTCCTCCAGGTCCTTGACAGTGTCCTCGAGAACACTAGCAACCACTTCCCACTGGAATTTCTCCGGCTGCTGGACGATGCTGAGAGCAGTCAGTCCTAAACTCACATCCATGCTTTCCCACTGAGAAGGCTGGCCTGGAAACCGAAGAGAAACATCTAAGATACCTTGGAGAACATTATGATTGTGTGTTTCTTATATTCTAAATAATGACGGCTGGAAAGAGGGACTTTGGTTTTGATTTATGATGCCATAATGGTGGAAAACTTTTAAATTCCAGTCGTACCTGTTACTGACTCTGACCGGGAATGCTCATCACTGTCTGAATCCTCCAACTGGTCATCACTGGACAAAAACAAAAAGGCAGTTACACAAGAGAACGCACTGAAACACAACAGACTCAGAATTCAATTAGAGTCAAAGTGTTTGCACAGGGTGTGGCAACATACTGTACCACTAACCGACGAGGACTGTTCATCATTTGATAAAGAGTTCCAAATTTCCACTACAAAGCTGAATGAACTCAAGATCACATCAATGTGTGCACCGCATTCTCAAAAAGAAGTCATTCGTTTTTACAGTTAATGTTGATTAACATTAAAAGATAGATTCGTACTGACATCTCTCTGTATAAAGCACTAGTTTAAAAACTGATTATTTTAGATTTTCACTCTGAAATACATCTTCCAGATGTGAGTGTACACGTGTCAGTTAGTTTCTTTTACCTATCACCCTCCAGCTTAGGCAGGTCAGAGCAGAAAGTAGACTCTTCTAGCCAGGCCAGAGTTGGTCTCCGAGACTCGGTCAGTGTCTGCTGGCTCTGCTCACCGCCGCTCAGGATCAGCTGCCTCAGGATGGTGGGGTCATAGGGGTTGACGTCGAACTTCAGGTGCACCTGTTTATTACACAATCACACACTTAATCTGGTGCAACTCTTTGAGTTTAAATTTCACATTCATTCACAGCTGGGGGTTTTTTCTCTGACCTTCATCATTTTGGATACATCCCAGATACAGATTTTGCCCCTCTTAGTGGCAGCAGCCAGGAACTGCGGGCAGCTCCCAAAGCCATAGCAGGAGATTTTGTCCGAATTGTCAGGACTGTTAGGAAACTGGGCAGGACTTGTCGCCAGTGTCACCGACAGTGGGACGTTTTGCGTGTGCTCCCCCTTCACAAATGGACAGTTCGGAGAATGTCTCTCGTGTTCTGACCTGGGGTTTAGCAGAGAAATACGAAATTATAGCTATGCATCAACATTTCCACTGTAGATTTGAACCTAACAAAGTGCATTGATGTGATAAATATTATTCCCTCACCATGGCTCATCTGTAGGTTCCCAGCAGACCAGACACACACTGCAGGTGAAACACATGGCTCTGTCGTCCCCAGTTGAGGCAGGCTGTGGAATCATATCCAGATTTTTTTATGTTCTACAAAAACTTGGACATCACGTTAGCATAATGTTACCTTTGTGCATTACAGAAGAAAAAAGTTGAACCGTACTAACCTGGTGGTAAAAACCCGCTTGAGCCATAGGGTCAGGCTGAGCCCACCTGTAGCCAGCATGAGGCCAAGATGTAAATGTCTCCCTCCTGTTGGCCTCACTGTACATCAAAGATCTGGAAAAAGAACCACAGAGCAGGAAAAACAAACTGAGAAATGTGTGGCCAAGTGAAACTACAGCCCGATGCGTCATCTCTCCACGTTACAGTCGAGGTGCAGGAGCTTTTTAACAGATGTTAATTAAGGATTTAAAGTTGATGAATGGTGCGTTCCACGTCTTTTCTTTGCTCTTTGTGAGAAGCTCTAACGATGTGGTTTAAGATGTGAACACATTCATTTGTAGTCCAGGGTTCTGGCTCTGTGAGTCACAGGGCATATTTTCGTAAGTACTGGTTTATAATGACAACATGATAACAAGGTGCTAACAATGGTAACTGGTGTGCTCAGTTTGTGACATGTGACTGCGGCGGGGCAAAATGAGCACAACGAAAACCATTATGTACACACTTTACTGTTATGCCGTTTAAAATGATTGGGTTTTTTTTGTTTGTTTTTTCAACTGAAAATCTTTTTAAATACATTACCACACACTTAGGAGTAGCACAAAAAAATATATATAATTGGTTAGGAGTAGCACAAAAAAAAATATATATAATTAAAAAAAAAAATTTGAAACCACAGCTCAGACACTCGCACCTGCCAGTCCTCATTAGCGTTATTACATGCTCACCTATCTACAGATCGTCCTGGGCCCACGCCCAGCTCAGGTCTGGCACTTGACAGCAGGTAGGAGAGCCTGTCCATGATGGATGAGGCCACAGACAAGGCAGCTACGTTCTGGTTTACCTTCTTCAGCTCGGTGACTATGGCGCTGGCGACCAGCTTCATCACATGATGAGGAAGATGGAAAGTCACAGTTGCCCACTGAGTGAAGAGACGTGGAAATGAAAACAGTCACCACACAGTAACAGGTATTCATCACAGAACTGAAACAGAGGAAATGTTCATTCCTCTCTTGGCAACACACTCGCGGGACACGGAGGTAATTTAATATGCGGTGCTGTAATTATTGTCAGAAAAAAAAAAAAAAAAAAAATCCATGTTGACTGTCTTGACAATTTTTCTTTCTACTCCAACACAACATAAGGTGTTGCAATGACAGTAATAATGACAATAACAAAAAAATGGCCGTTTTATGTCTTATAGAGTTTCAAACCATCACATTTACACATTACATATAAATGATACAGATATTTGCTAGATGTTTTAAGCCCGTAAGTTTCACTATAGGTCAGACTGTGGAACCGCCTTGCCTACACTATATTTTTCGTAGGGTTATTGTAATGGACGATATAAATAAATGTTGATTGACACATGAAAGATTTTTGATGTTTGGGTGATAGAAAGAAATAACAAAAAGACTGGTTCCTGGTCATGTCGTCATTGGAAAAAAACAGGTTCTCAACTGACCTACCAGATTGAATAAACAAGGAAAAGAAAAAAGTGTGAAGGAAAGACAAATGAAGACAGATACCGATCTTAAAGTTCTTCACATTTCTCAAATTATCACAAAGGTTCTAATGGTAAGTAGTAAACAGCTGTCACACCAACCTTGGCAACTTTGTGGTTGGCTGCTGTCTCGTGTGAGGTATTCTTCATGCCTTCTTTGAGCTGATTGATAAAGAGTTCATAGCCCTCTGTGTTGGACACATCAATTTTCTCCTGACAGGCTGACAGCAACTGTTGTGTCTGCAAACACAAACAAGGACACTTTTAAGGAGGTACACATGTACAGATCACTTGGCTCGGCGTCACCCGACGCAGATGACATCAGAAATCAAATGTGCACAATACAAATGTATGAATTCATTTGAATTACTTTAACAAATGTCCACCCACTGTGTGTATAAAGCAAAATGCTGGTCTGCCACTTAACATGCATATTCAAACAGGAAGTCTGCATTCACAACAACATTACCAAGACTTTGTTCTTATCTTACTCCCTGTGACACATCTGCCAACATCTTGACTTTATACATTCTTTACTTTAGTAAAAATAACACAAGCGATAGGACGCATGCATTGTTTCCACTGATAACACCGCGAGATATGCGAGAGCCGATGACGGTCGGAAACAAGTTGATCAACTGCACAACTAATTTACAATTTTAAATGATTTTAAATATCGTGATTTTTTTTCATATACATTTTAATATATCACTTATATAAAACTTATCTTAAGAAGAAGTGGGAAGACCGGAATAACACCTTATATTTGACAGATGGAACAGAAACAGGCTGAGCACCTGATCAAAAGTCAGAGGATTCCTACTTTTTTGTTTGTAAAACTCTTTACAGTGTCTGTACATCCTCCCCAGTAAAACACAGTGTAAATGAGACTACTGCAGGCTCAATATACTCCATAGCAATATTTACTACTGACTGTGCAGAATTACCCTTTTTCTTCAAATACTGCATTTCTACAATTTGTCACAATAACTGTTTGGTTTTTTTTTTTTTTTGTTTGTTTTATTAAAAAGGTAAAACATAAATCATCGCCCCCATCTGCTTTGTAGTCAGTGCTGTTCTGTAGCCATGTAATACACATGAATGCTTTTCCATTTTTTAAATCGCCTGCACAGCGAGGAAAACAAATACAGACCATTGCATAAAGTTCTTTCGAAAAAAAATTGTTACTTACCAAAGCTATTTTGGGGGAGGAGGGGCACATATTTGTTTTTTAAATACAAATAATTCATCCAATGCCATCAACACAGTAAAGCGCCTGTATGGTCACTAACTTGATGAGCGCAGTCAAAGATTGAACTCCACATTCAGCTGACAATCAGATTGTGCAACAAAAGGCCAAGCATTGCTACAGGCGAAACACAACTAGTGTCCCATATCAGGTGACATTAGCCAACACTGGGTGCTTCCTGGTGTCTGTGCGAACGTCACGCAGCATTTCGCTTTACCTCGGTGACCGGCAGCTCCAGCTGTACCATGTCCTCAGGCTTGGTCACTGGAGGCTGGAGGGCTGTGTCCAGGAGCAGGATGCCATTCAGGTCCTTCCTGCATCCCACTGCATAGTCATCCACAAAAAGCACCTTGTCCACTGCAGGGAAGTACTGACACCTGACACGACCACCAGGTTTAGCTAGGAGGAAAAAGGACAACACAGATCAGTGTCAGTGACGTCCAAAAATTGCTGCTAAGTACAACGTGTTACTTTAATCTTTTGTGGTGCACAAAACTTGTGTGGTAAATTCCTGGACAGAGAATAACTGTGAGCAAATCATTTACAATATCTGCAAAAGTTCTTTCTACACGGGCAAGAAAAAAAAAACAGTTAAAGCAAGGCTCAGAAGAATGGACATTGGTGGAGTATTTTTCTTGCCAACATTTTTAAGTGTCCAATGAGAAATTGGCAGCGCACATAACCAAGCTCATTCATTCAAGTGAATATAAATGAAGTCATTTTTGATGTTACAATATTAGAACAACACTCACATTAAATCTTTGCCTCAAAAGAAATGATCTATAAAAATGTTGTATTATCATCAGCATTATTATTATATTATTGTATATTATTGTATACAGTCATATTTCATTAGATTCATGCATCGGCTCTGACTGTGTCTGTTCCGTTATAGCCTGTTCTGTTCTCATTCATTTATTTTTCATTCCTCTTTCTATTGAAGAGACTACTTACTGGCTAGTCTATACTATGGTTTACCCAAACACTGAAATAGGTGGTTAAAGTAAAGCCTTTTAGGCCTTTCTGACCCTTTTATTTTGAAAGGACATCTTATTCAGTATGACCGTCTTTCTCACACTTTCATTTTCTTGGAAATTCTCTAGTGTTCTCCACTGTAAAGCGTCAACAATGAAATCCTTTTTGTGCTATAGTGTAACAATCCTTTTAAATATTTGTGTATTTTTGTGTGTATCATGGCTTGTTTGTGCTATAACGTGGTATAGCTTTGGTTGGTAGCTTTTTAAAAAGACAACAATACTATGTTAAAACTAACAAAATTTTAAAAAAATTATCAGTGAAAAAACCCAGTTGACTATGACATTTGAAAACAAAGTAAATACTGTAGCGATAAACACTTACTGAGGAAGTACTGTATTCAGAGGTGACAAAATACACATGTTCCTTTCAACCACACATGCTGCATGATGTCAAGTCTACAACTTTGAACTGGGGATTATATTTTTGACCCCTTCGTCACATCACCGTGGTTGAACTGCACGGTGATACTGACAGATTTTGAGTGGAAGTGGCCCATTCCTTATATAATCATTCCTATTCACCCTGACACGCTGTCTCTACAAAATGATCTGGCTTCAAAAAAAATCCCAGAGGACAAGTATCTTACTTTGTAATGCCTCACATCTCAAATCACACAGAGAAAAGATCGTCAACTACAATAATGCACCGCATGTACTTTAGTGCAGCACATGACACTGTTTATAGTCAACAGACAGACTGACAAAACTAAAATATTGGCTGTTGGTGTGACTTAAGGTAAATACTAAATGTTAGAAGAAATTACTCCAAATGACCTTTCACACACACATATTCAAGGTTAACTTTTGGGCAAAAAGTCTGTTGCTTCTAAAAAAAAAAAAAGCACTGCGGAACGATGATCACCTGTGGTACAATGCTGACGAGCTTCCTACTTATTCACTGCTCTGTGACTCCGCAGTCAGGCTAATAAATGATCCTGCTTTGCTGATCAACCTATTGATCCTGATCCTCTTTTCTGCAACTGCTAGACCAGAGATTAGAGCATGATAAAAACACATTTGGAGGAGCCCTAACATGACATAGTTTATGTACAACATAGGATTCATTTTGCTGCACTTATTTCTATTTCTTTGTGTGAGGAGCAAACCTGAAAAACTGTGGTGGTGGTGGTGGTTGTTATATTTTTGGTATTCAAGTTGCAATGTGAACACTCCTTCTGAGTGGAAATGGCAGCAGTTTTAGTTCCATGGCGATTGACGCAGCTTGCTAATGTCATAAATGTTTTAGGAACTTGGAAATTTGTTTGACGCCAGACAAGGTGACCTCAGTGTTTCGCAGACTTCCTTTCTATTAGAATTTTCTATGTACAACCATCTCGGGTCTGCGAACAAAACAAACTGTCCAGTAAGTACAACGTGTGCAATATGCATTGCTGAATAAAAACGTTAGACTGATAGACTGTTAAATAGAAGCCAAACAAATTAATTCTTGCAATTCAAAGTATGCAATAGACCTTGCCTGCTTGCACAACAAACCAATCCTTCAAATGACCTTACCCGTCGCTTAAATAGACAAATAGAATGACTAATGAATGAGTTAGTAAGTGTACTGTATCTTAATATGTAAGAGCATGTTCTGAAAACAGAGAAACTGCAGTCTAGGCAGAGGTGTACTACAAATGGTGTACAATTTATGGTGAGGTGTACAATTTATATTTTAAATATTGTTTAATAGTGTACAATTTATATTTTAAATATTGTTTTTATATTGTACAAGATGATGATAGTTGAACAATTATGTACATTGTCTTTAATTTCTTTACATTTCAATTTCATAATTGCATTTAAGTCGCTGTTATTTAGTATAAAGGGCATACATACCAAGTAAAGAAAAATGACCATCCATACTGGATGAGGAACACAACTGTGAAGATTATCATCATCATCAGTGGGGTTGAAAAATACATCACCCTGTGATGCATTACTCTTGACAAAAGAAATCACATGGATTTTTAGTTTTTAATGTTTTTTTATTTTATTTTGTATATAGATTATTTTGTCTATTTAATTTAAAATGTATATTCTGGTTTGTATGTCTTTGCTTGCATGTAAAAAATAAACTCAAAATGACAGCAAGGGTTTGACAGAACATTAAAGGTCAAGTATGCAGTTGTGTGTTATTATTTCTGTACTGTGTTTATCAGTATTCATGCGTGTAGTTTCCCTGACCTGTGGCAGGAAGAGAAACATTTATTTAATGAATAAAGCATGATGGTACATTTAATATACATAGAATCCAGTAACCAGGTCAAAGATTTTTGACTACAAGAAATAAGGAATACAGCTAATACCTGTTATACAATGTGTCTACACAACTTCATTTTGTGATCTTTTAATAGATTTAATTTTTTTTTTTTTACATATTAACGATTGCTTACTAGACCATGCACCAAAAATACATATTAACTATTGCTTACTAGACCATGCACCAAAAATACTAGTGATTCTGCTTTTGTGTCAAACATTGGAATACCTATCAATGTGTTACTGGTTGTACTACAGCACAGAGTGATCAGTGAGTGCTGCCAGTGCGGGCAAAGCAGGCGCGCATAATTACTGGCTCGTGCAGAAATTTCAGTCCAGAAACGTAAAGCAAATGTCAATACCTTGTGAGAGAACTTTTTGTATTGACATGCAGCACAAATGTCACACTAGTCATGTGACCTAATCTCACATGTTAACCCCACAGGGAAAGGAAGAATTTGTTACACCATTCCGGCATGACAATGTTAATTTAATTTCAGCACCAGAGCATTCAGTGGCAACTGACAAATAAATGAAGGGCAAAAATAATAAACAGCTGTTAGAAAAAAGCGTCTAGGACACTGCTACATCTGATCTTATAAAAACAATGGGTAGGATTGATTCAAATTACAGATGCTGCTTGAAATGTCCAATACATCAGTTCCACCAAAGAAAAATGTATCTGATTTTAGATATAATCATAATATTACCATCCTTAGGCATCTAAAATACATGATGTTAGTTTTGGGGAAGGAAGAAATTATTAAATCAGCCCAGCCTTTGTATTTAAACTATCTAACTCTATTAGGTGCTGCCGTTAGTTTGTGTGTTGACGATGTGTGTGTACAATTAATAAGAACGAGTTGATTTTTTTATTTTCTCTTACAATTAACTTTATTATACGGAAACTCGTTAAATTGCGGTTGCATGGATAGAAATAAAGATGGTTCTGGAGGCCTCTATAGCAAACTGGCTAATAGAAAACACTGGTTTGTATATCAGTTCACTTCAGTCATACAAATTCCCTTGAGACGGACAAATGACTGACAGAGCGCACCACTTAAATGGCTAGACGAACAGAACACCTTTAAAACCCAAACCACAGTCGTAAGACCCGTGCGTTGGTCTTTATCACACAACGCCAGTCGTGCTGCCTCTAATGTCTAAGATATCAGGTCCACTATTGACAACATGACACTGTCGTGAGACAGAGAGAGCACTGGAATAACAAAACTGACCAGGAAGGTTTCCTGGCTAACTAGCACTGTGCTAAGTTGACTAGCTCAATGTTAGCTTTAATGGTAGATGTGTCATGTTGCAGCAATGGTAAACACTAGCAGCCAGTTACGGTTCAAGAAGCACTTGTTCAAACACCAATACCCGACAGTTGTGTTGTGGTTTTCCATAGACTGACCTCCACCACTGTCTTATTCAAACAAACGACCTAACTCTAGGCCCGAAAACTCGGCATGTGTTGTGTTAAGAGAGTGTTGACAGCCAGCGGCAGGTTTGTCAGAACAGAAACTATTGGTGTCACGGCTTGTCAGTGCGCCCCGGTGCTTACCGTGCAACGCTGACGCCTGGAGAATAGCCCCTGAAGTCCCGTCTATTACTTTGATGCTGCCACGACTGGTAACGGCCAGGATAGCGTTGAGAGCCGGGTGGTAGGACAGGCTTCTCAGGCCCTCCTCGTCGCAGCGCAGGCAACCGTCTCTTAATACAATCCAGTCTGAGGAGGTGGACGAGCCGGAGCCCGGCGAGGCCGCGGCCGCCATCTTTCCTTCTTTTCCCCTTACCTTCCTCCCTGGGCTTTTTAGTGTTCTGGTGGTACACGTAATACTGCTAAATCTAAACTACTAACTCCGAACTATGACGCCTGTGCCACTCCTGGGCCCCTCTGCGGCTTCTTCTCCTCCGCCCGTCACCGCAGCAGTGGCTATTCACCATCGGCGCTAAGGAACTCCTGGCTGGGCTCTCGATAGGTAGACGCAGCTACCGTATTTTTACGCCAGGTCTCGCGATAACGCGAAGTAGCGCTGTGGACTATCGTGTGGGTAAAATATGAAAACCAAAATTATTAGTTGTGTAACACACGCACGTGTAAACACACAACAATGTACATACGTGCATTGACCAAAAAATAAACGACGAGGTTGCGTATTTTCCACATATTTTCTAAATACATAGTTTAAAAGACAGTATTAGAAAAAAATGCTAATTAGCACTAGCAGTTTTCATATTTCTCAAATATATAATAATTAATAATCATTATATATTTGAGAAATATGAAAACTGCTGCTCTACAAATACCGCTACACTATTAAAACGCTTTAACGTCACTCACCCAGCACATTTAAAACATAAAAATAGTATTTACGCCACAACATTAAATTAGAATGTGTTTTTTTCTTCTTTTTTTCTTTTCTTTTTTGCATGTCTAGTGTTGTCACAGTGACAAAACACTGACATAATGATATGGAACGCGAGATCAAAGCTTATGGGAGAAAGAATAGAAACGATCCAAAATAATTAGATTATATAATAAAATTAATTGATTTACATATTTACATTTGTGTCCCTTGAATGGTAATCATTTGCAAAATGTAGTTTAAAAAAAAGCTACAATGTTCTTTTTGCTATAGCACTTATAATCTGTACTGCGCTTTGCTACTCTAACAATTGTGAATTTACACACGAAATAAAGTACTGTTCTTATTTTTAAATTAGAAAAAGACGACAGCATTGTTGTTATCTTTTGTGTCCTATAGGTGTCAGTGTTGTAAAGCAGTGATGGTTTTCTAATTATGAAACGAGAGTTGTTGGAATACATGATTTAATCATCATGTATAAAGACATTTGTGTCAATCGGTACTGTTGTTTGATGTGGATGAAATACCTTATGACGTCAGCATTCGTGAATAAGTAATATTGGGATGGGTCTTGATTATGCTTTTCTATCATATTGAATTCATGGATTCAGGAATGATGGAGAGATTAATACTTACTGTGGGGTTTGGTACATATTATATCATTAAAAATATTCTTGTAAACGACAATTTATATGAGTCTATTAGACTATCATCAGAAGTGTCTGGTTTTCAGATACAGACATCATACCATCTATTTTAGCCCTTCCATTTTAGGTGTCGTTGCATGAAAAGGAAGTTGAATGTGAAGGTAGGGAAGCAATCGTTTCACAACATGAACAATGAGTTGTAATGAGTTACTGGTGGTGCCAGCCCTGATTGGCCACTCCAGGGACATCCAGGCTTAATAAACCCCACCAACATTAAAGATGGAGTCTAAACTTCTTGATGACAGCACTGCCAACACCTGCTGTGTATTATCTCATGTATTATCCCTTTTGAGCAGATGCAGGAGTGACAATCCCTTTGTTAATAATTCCTCGCTTCATACCAGGTGATTACGTTCACCACATGTCTTTTATCTGGGTAGATTAGGGTAGTAAGATATTTTTGGTTGCTGTGTTGGGAGACCTTCATATCGCTTTTTATTACCAAGATTCTTAGCACTGGGCTGCTGGCATTGTTTGGGTGTGATAAAGGTGTGGAGTGCAGATTTCAGTGAAGTCGAGGTTGCCCTCAGGCTCAGGCGTAACAGACAGTGACATTATACACAATGAGAATTATTCAACGTCAAAAAAAAAAAAAAGTACAGTTTACATATGCACACACATATTACTCACTCCAAATGGACCTATTAGGAAGTTACTTAATGACTTAATGTCATGCAAAGGCTTAAGATGAAGTTGGTTTTGGAGTGTTCTTATCTCTCTGGTCAACTAAATCCAGAGAGGGTCCAAACGGCCCCAAAGGGCCATTTTAGTTTTCATAGTCATCTGCTGCCATCTAATGGGAGAGTACCAAACAACAACCAGTTACAAAAAAAAAATAGTGACTATTTGGACTACTATTTAAGAATAACTAATGCTTTAAAATAACTTGAATAGAAAACTTTCAGCCATCTGCTTTACTCTATTAAAGTTAATGGGGATTTGTGCTACATTGTCCGGTTTATAGCGATATGCCCTTTTCCAATAAGAACAACAGAACATAAAATCCTTGAAACAATGCTAATTACATTTGGATAAGTGACATCATTGGCGTTTTATATCACTGTGACCAATGCTATCCGACTGCTTGTATTTCTGACATCGAGTAAAGACGCACGATTGCAAATGAAAAAATATATAAAATGGAAGACATTAGTCATGGTTCATTACAATATAAACAATAAAGAATATTTGTTTAATGTCTTTCAATCTCCATTTCTAAAACACTAATATTTGGCATTTAATCTAACTGCAGTAAGAGATAAATCATTACACTGATATGAAGATTTATTTCCATTTGTAAATACAAACAAGGCGGGACAGCGATGAGCGAGACGTCAGCATACCAAAGTTGAAGCTTTATGAACACGGGTAGTGTTTCATTTACCAAAGAAAAGAAGGACGAATCTATATATACAGTCATAAATATCCCCAGTACAACCATTATTAGGAATTTACCCCAGTTAATAAAAAGACTTAAAAAAAAAATCCCTGTTCCATAGTCTGATTTTTTTTTCTCCATATCCCAGGGTTAGTGTCCATTAGAAGGTCCATAGATCCAACTGACCAGGTCAGACTCCAGTATATAGAGAGAAGAAGTAAATATACAAAAGGAAAATGGGATATATGAGAAGGGGCTTCTTGGTTTTGAATTCATCTCCCACCAGCAGTGAAGCAGCGCTGTAGGCAGCCCAGAACACTCCGAACAGCTGGAACATGACAGCCCAAGAACAAAAAGTGTCAGTGCATTTACCAATCAATACCTCAGACTATAAAAGTGTCAACATTAGAGGTGCTGCTATAGAGATAACTCAACACCAACATCATCGTCGTCGTCGTCACATCAGTCCATTTTACACTTATACGACAAAGCCAACACAAATAAATGATAACAATAAAAGCTGCATGTAAGGTACTGGTACAAAGTGACTACTCACACTATTGTAGGCCCACTTTGCTGAGAATTACTCAAAGACAGATGAGTGCCAAAGCCAATGAGTTAAGTCTATGCCAGTTTGTAGATATATTTTCTTTATTGTTGCCACGTACAAACAGCTGCCATGTACTGTCAAATAATTGTTTTTATTATTTATGATAATAAACGGTTATTATCTCTATTTATCATGTGTATTTTCAGGTTATTATTACCAGTGCAAAATTCAGAAAATGAACAAGAAGAAGGGAATCTTGCTGGCTCTATTGTATTGCATTAAAAAAATAGCAGGGCTCTGTACATGGTGAAGCATTAAAACTGGCTTAGTCAATTGCTTCAAAAGGCAACATTTGAGTTGCATCGCAATATATCTACAAATAGTGTGAGACCTGGAAACCTCAAGGCATCATTTCATTTTCATTTTCAAGAAATATAATTGATAAGAAGATTTTAAAAGACAATTAAATAGACAATTAAATAAACCTTCAGGTTAAGAAACGTCTTAACCTGAAGAAGAGCTATTTAAAGTGGCCTCCTGAGAAATACGTATATATCTAGCAAGGATTTTTGCGCAGTCTAGTAGAAATGTCATGTGATGGTGTGATGAGACTTACTTTGATCAACGTAGAGACAACATCGAACGACCTGATCACCGTCAGCATCGGAGCAACGACGATGAGAGGAAGAAGCGAATATCCGATCACTCCAAGAACCTGGCCGTACGAAACCTAGGGAAATCAAAGGGAAACAGAAAATAAAGAGAAATTGTTTATTTAAAAAAATGTGTGGAATACTTTGTGGAACAACGGGAAGTTTAGAGTGTGGTCTGAGGATTTGTGAATAAAGGGTCAGTACTGACCTCGCCACCAAGAACACGGGCCAACAGGAAGATGGTAAGTGAGCCAAATATCCAGATGGTGATAATCCATGAAACCACCTAAGTGATTCAAGAGGGCAAACCACATTTAGTGCTATAACTTAAAGGTACATGAAATACTATAAAATGCTCTACAATAGATCAACTCAGACATGTTCAGCAAAAGTAGATGATTTTTCCCTAGTTATACTGGTGTGTAGCTGAAGTATGCTATAAAATAAAGAATACATTTGATAAAGCTATGTAACCACACACGCTATCAAATGACAGCAGCTACACAGACACAGAAGAGATTTGTGGTTAAGGTGGAGTGACCTACATTATGGTTTTGTTTTGATCATGCCTTTCTTTTTTATCTCAGCTTTTTGTTTACAGTTAAAAATATGTTAGGGCATGTGCATATTCAAAATTAATGATAATGATTCACTTGACTTAAACGATACACATACAGAGATAGAATGCTGCTCACCCTAAACTGTCCATAGATGGAGATCATGGAGAAAAGAAGCACCACGGCCAAAGGGCCCCAGAAGTCTGGGTTGTCTCTGACCACCTGCCGGTTGTAGCCCAGCGATGGCATTGGCATCAGCACACACCGGATCTTGTAGTAGATGTCTTTCAAGTCGATGTCCAACTCTTCCCTGTATGAATGCATACAACCAAGGTTGACAGGTGTGTATGGTTTGCATGCACACTAATCGAATGACCAGCTGTAAATAGATAATGGATAGTGTGTCTTCCCTAAACGCTCTAGTATGTCCAATGGATTTTTTTGTTGTACTACCAATAAGAATGACAATGCTGGGATACTAAAAGCAAAAAAGGATAACTTGTGTTTACAGAGGAGGTCGTTTCTGTAAGAGCAGTTTAATTTAGACTTGGGTATATGCAGTATTTTCCCTATGAAAAATTCTCTAATTAGATGTCTGTGGCTCACGGGTTAAAAAGAGTTTTATATTTTCATAATAATAGATAATATATGATACAATGATATATGTAATATACATTTTATAAATATAATTATATATATATATAATATTAGATAATGTTTTTTATATTTATTTTGATATAAAGTGACAAAGCCCAGAATATTAATTTATTGTTAAGCCTCTAAAAGCACAGCCTTTACGCTGTTAAACTGGCACTCCAGACCCAGGATAATAACCAAGGATTTGTCAACGTTAACATAAATTGCTTCCTTAACTCCTCTTTGAATCCACCTGTATTTTTTGTTTGTTGTTTAATGTACAACCTTTGTTATTAGAATAATTTATTTTTCTGTAAATGGCGCTAGAGAGCAGATTTTTACTTACAGAAGAGGTTTGATTTCTTCACCATCCTCCTCTTCCACTTCCAGCAGCCAGCCATAGCCTCGTTGCCTCAGGAAGGTGGTAGCATAGGGGCCTTTGCCACTGTCACCGCCCATGTTTACCTTAACATCTGGCGTAGTGATGGTACCGCTGAGTTCTGTAAAGAGGAGGGTCATCACATGCTACATGACACATGCTTTATTCACACTTTAAGGTCAAAGCGTTTGGATAAACTTTGTAATGTAGCAGCATCTGGTGGTTATATGTTTGTAGATGCATCCCCAATATTGTCTATTGTTTGTTTGCTGTGGTAAAAAAAAAGTTAGTAAAGTGTGTTGATGTGTAGTTTGTGGCTTCTGATGTTAAAAATGAGATTTTATTTTGGAGTAAACATACACATTCTTCAAAATGAGTAAACATTCATTAAATATTACAATTATTATATATTAAGCTTTCCCATCATTAATGGAATACACTGAAAATGAATATCACTCAGAATTTCAGTGTGAACCGTTACAAACATTATGCAAAAATAATAATTTTAACCAATGCAAACATTAGTGGCCATTATAAATTATCTCAGCAAACATTATCTAAGCAAGGTCGCAAACTCAACGTTTTCTGTAAATGATGAATGACAATTTTAATCTTGTGAAAAATTCGAGTACTTGATATGCCAGAGCTTGTAAAACGTATGAACAAAACATGCTTTGATATGGTTTCATTTGTACCGTAATGACATTTTTGCAATGCAAATAAAGGGGTATTTTCTGCTAAGAGTGGTGCTTTACTTTCAGAATAAATGGTGCACGTATATACATTTAAAATGCAGACGAGAACTTAACTGTAAACCAATATCGAAATGCTTATTTTTAACTTTAAATAGTCGAGATACAACAAGACGGCCGAAAAGAGACACGTAAACAGACTTGTGTTCAACCGGCCTGTTTGGCTGCTGTTAGCATTAGCTTACCCTCAGCTTCTGTCGAAGATACGAACGTAAAGTCTCCGTTGTTTGGGGAGAATTGCATCTTTGTATCGCTGTCACTGCCTAAGGTCGACGGAAAAAGATCTCTTGAATGTCACGTTGTTCTCACGTTGTCTGTTGCAGCCATTGATGTATAATCAAGATACCTATCTGAAAATGGCGAGTTTGTCAATTCTACACGAACCGTCGCCTGGCTAACGCAAGACTTTCTTACTTCCGGGTTACTTCCTGGTTCTGTGGCACACTTAAAAAAACAGTATTGAGAAAAACATTGCTCTTCTATTTTCATTAAAACTTTAACACATGAAAACAGTTCAAGCTTTTGGAGAGGTGATACCCCCAAATGCCTTCATCAGAAATATTTTCCCCAGTGAACCTTTCTAGAATAAAACACATTTTAACAGAGAAATAAAATGACACCTTCATAAATTGTGTCCAGTGTAACTCTGTCTAACACAGTTTGAAGGCCTTAATAATAGCATATCACTTTAATAAAAAAAGGAGCATAGTTACTTCAAGGGTTTTATTGTAGCTCCGTGAGAAAGGCGTCAGCCAAGTAATAAGAGTAGGATTGGTCTGGGAATAAGCATTTCTGCTACTCACACTTTGCGCCAGTGAGAGGCAGTAGTGAATTTAACCTTCGTTGGTCTCCACAAAATACGCAGAAGAATAATATAAGGAACCGCACCCCATCAGTTTTCCAACCAATAGCAGCAGGAGATACTGACTCACTGCTTTTGCCGCTAAATCTAAATCCGGTGCACTGTAGCGCTCTTCTCTCCATTCACTGTTCTGTGGACAAAGTTCCACAAAAAAACGAGTAAGTTAAATTAACACAATATCTAGAATATAATTGTTGTTAACTCGTCGATGGTCGTTTGCGTTTCACTGGGTAGAACGAGCAAAACTAACCGCTTACTTGTGTTGCTGTTACGTCAGGCTAAACACTGTTTTAGTATCTTATATATTAATATACAGACAAAAGACGTATATTATATATACATGTATATCGCCCTACCATCACAGACAAAAAGGTAAATGCCGGTAATTTGTCCATGCTGTCATCATGTATTGTAAAATGTAGCATAACCTCCTTGGGTACCTGTAAAAACCGCGTTAAAATATATTATATTACTCTCATTAGTTTGTCAGAGGTTACCAAATAAAAAAAAATAACTGCCAATTTTAACTGGTTGAATTTAGAGGAAGTACAGTGTTTACATGACCAAATATGCAAAACCTTAACACCGGAAATAATTTGCTTTGTTCATATGAAATTATTAAAAACACTCGAGTGGAAAAAAAGGTTTAAAAGAATCTTCTACTAATTAACATAGCCGTTGTTCAAATCGGTAGCAGACCAAAGTTGTGACTTTAATCAAACACTTTTCCACAGATAAGGCCAAAAATATAACAGTTGTCACAGTCTGTCAAACATGTGAAATGTATACAGCATGCTGCTAATAATAACTCAGAATTTGCTCTCTCCAGCTTCTGAAAATGGGAATCTCTGGACTACTACAGTTTCTCAAAGATGCATCAGAACCAATTAATGTTAAAAAGTACCGAGGTCACACGGTGGCTGTGGACACGTACTGTTGGCTACACAAAGGGGCATTTTCCTGTGCTGACAAGCTGGCCAAAGGAGAACCGACTGACCAGTGAGCACCGACAATATATTTCATTTAATACGTTTAAAATCAGATTTATCCTGCAGTCTATTATTGTCCTTGACTGTAATTTAACAATCTCCTCAACCCAGGTACGTGCGGTACTGCATGACACTTGTGGAGATGCTCCTGACCTATGGCGTCAAACCCGTCCTGGTGTTTGATGGACGCAATCTGCCATCAAAACAAGAGGTGGAAAAGGCTCGCAGAGAGTGAGTATTTCGGCACAACACAGTGGTGATGGAGAATACATACTTATCTCGAAGGTCAGTTTTACTTTACTGAGGGTTGTGAAGCACTGGCGGTGCAGCTGATTGGTCCAATGCCGCTCTGGGGGCAGCAGTGTGTGTGGTTGCTCCAGGGAGGTTGTTGGAGCTGACCCTGTGTGATATGACTAGTGACCTCCGGAGAGCCAGAGGGAGCCAGTGAGCAGTCTATGGTGCTCGTCCTGTGCCGATAACCAGAGACTTTTTTTTTTTTTTAAATTACCTTTCAGTGTAACCTGTGATTTGTTGTGTCTTTGAACCCAAATTAACAACCTAAAATGAAAATTTAAAAATAAGACATAAAAATGTTTACTTGTGTTTTTTTGCATCTGCATATGATGGAATTACCCCACACTACCGCAATTCCAAAAACTTAAACTATGAAACTGAACCTGTTAGAGCCTGCACAAAGCCTCTGAAGAATGTTTTTTTTCTTTCTCTGTTCAGGTTTTAATGAGATGTAACATGAGCTATAACAAGAATCTTAAGATGATTTACCATTGAGGAGCTGACAAATGACATGAGTGGAGAACAAATGCATTAAACCAATCCGCGGCGATTTAAAAAAAACTAACATCGGGATTAATATCTGCGGCGAAGACAATAAGCCAGTGTTTTTCATACTTGGCCAGAAACACGAACAGACAATGCCTGGATTGTTCGAAAGCCTG